TTGGTAATCATCCCACTTTGACCATTGGTAATCATCCCATAAATCCAGCGGTTGATTTTGACAAGGGGAACCCCATGAGTGTAAGTCTTCCTGACAACTACTTGCTGAAACGGTTCCCCAAATAAAGTCAAGTGCCTTAAAACAGGGCCCCCTTGCGCTGCCGCTTCTTGTTTCCCACGCCGGTGATTTTAAGACGAAAGGCACTGCTGACCTACACCACAGCTCCGTGTGGGAGATCTATAACCTGGCGGCGGAGATCCCGCAAGCGGAGCTCACTTGGATCGATCACAAGGCCGCGGCCAGAAGCCGTCGCCCGTAAAGAGCCCAAGTAACATCTGTTTGTTGGGTGCCTCACTGAGAAAGGTGGCCACACACATTGGCCGCCCTTCTCCGTTCCAAGCAATCTTGAAGCTTGAATTCCCTTCAATTGTCCAGAATTTCAATGCTCCACAGAATGCGTTCCAATTCTTGTACCAGAGGTCAAGTCATTGTCTGGAAGCAATCCTTGTACCGCCCGACCTGGCGAAAAGGGTGGCCAGTTCGGCGCCCAACAACTCCGATTGTGTACCTGGCTTAATACTGGGGATGGACTAAATCCTGCCCCAAACCACCATTCTTTAGGTAAAGTGGGGTCAAGGGGTAGCCTTGAACACCCAGGAGGGTTTTTTGCCACCGTAATTGGCCATTCTATTCATTGGGCCCCAGGATGCCAATTGGTTTTTGTTTGGGGCCGTTTCATGGGTACCTAAGGACCTAAATTGGGTCCTGGCCATTCAGGCCGGGGCAACCCCTTCCCAACCACCCCCCCCTGCGCGGGCTGCCGGCGAGGTGAGGCCGGACGTGGACTTCAGCCGTTTGACCTGGCAGAAGGCCGCAGAGCTCTGCCAAGGCTTCGGCGCGGACCTCTGCTTCCGAGGGGATGCCGAGTCCGCAGGGTTGCATGTTTTCAGGTTTTCCAGGGTTACGCAATTGGAAGGTTGGTCTTAACGGGACACCAAAAGGATTTGCCACTTTTGTGGGGACTTCCCCTATTTTGAGGCAAACCCATTTCGCCGTTTCAAGCTTTTGATCGGGGGGAAGGGAAAGCCCCTGCACAAGCAACCTGCTTGGTGCGAGAAGGTGTGCGCCCTTTCTTCCATGCTTTTTGGGGCAACAATTATTTCTTTCTTTTTTTTGGAGATCTGAATCCAAGGATGTGTGCCCTAATGGTGCGGACCACCCTCCGGCAGTGGGGAAGTGGGACTTCTTGCAAGAGACCGTGCCCTCGACGTCGGACCTTTGGGCTGCCTACCGCGTGTGCCAGGGGCCGCGGCCTGTGGCCAAGATGCAGAACAAATGGATCCAAGCAGGCGATTCGGTGCGATTCGCCCGGGTCAAGGGGAAGCGGGCCCCTGTCAGGGATCGGGGATGGGGGATCTCGGGATTTGTCGTCAACGTTGAGTATCTGACATCTTGACCCTCGACTCAACAATGCAGTAAAAAAAGCACAAGTCTGAAGAAAACCATTGTTTGATCCTTTGGTGAACAGCAATTAGACAACGGGAGTGCTAAAGCTTCCCCTTGATAGGGGCTGTCAGGAGTTTAGTACGTAGTAGCGGCATTTTTTTGGGAGAAGCACTATGTGCTATCTGGAGCGAATGTATGCGTGCAGGGTATGGTGGATGCTCTAAATATGGCAAGTAAACCCCAACCACACTCAATCACAAAACCACAGTAAACTGCGGTAAATTAGAGGGTTCTCCTTGTTCCAGTACTTACAATATTTAGGGCATCCACCGTAGAGGACATGTGCTTTTGGGTGTTGAATGGTCACCCGAATGATTCCAAGGTCGGTGGGGCCTGCCACCCAGCACCTGCATCACGCACCAGGAGGCGGACAAGTCTGATCCGAGCCACGGCGTGTGGATTCCGCTCATTTTTTACTCTGCTGGCGGGAACTGAGGGTAAAAGGAACCCCAGTTCCTCAAAGAAGCCAAATTTTGGGAACTGGTACCCCCCTGAGGTCCAAACCATGTCGATAGTTTTCGACATGACCCCAAAAGGTGATCACCGTAAAAGTTTCTGGGCTCCCATGGGGCAACTGAGTTTAACATTCTTGGGAAGGGTTCCCTAACTTCGACCACGGGCTGTCGTTTGCCGCCTGACGCCCTGGGCTTAGGACCTGGGGCCCCAGCGACTCACCGCAGACCTTCCGCAAAGCCGTGGCTTGCTGCGCAAACCGCAGGGACACCTGCGAGCCGCCGCTGCTTCAGGGCGCGTGGCGCCCTGACATGGAAAGCGAGGTGAACCGACTCGCGAAGGACGAGAAACGCACATCACCGAACCGCGGCCCTATGCGCTCCGAAAACGACTTGACGGTTCTCAGTGAAAGAGGGTGTTTGGGAATACACCTTGGGATTCCCTTGAAGGGAAACCAGCAGGGATGGTTGATCTGCGGTCATTGCCTCATCCACTAGACTGTGTTTTTTTGGTTCTAGGAGGCTGCAGGCAAGCGACTCGCAGATCTTGACTTCGCCCATCGCGACAAGCTCATGCGTGCCATGATGTCGCTGGTGGGCGTGGGGGCGGACCAGGTGAGCTGTGAAGGTTAAACGCCATCCCAACCGTAAAATTGTGGTGCGGATATCCACCCTTCTGATTCTGTACATGCACTTGGCAAACAGTTTTTAATGCCAGGTTGTAAGTACTCAAGTGAGCCACAATCAAAACCCGGGCAAGTGAAGATTAAGGGACAATCACCAGAATTAGGGGCGGCCGCCTTGACATGGTTTTGGGTAGACATGTATTTAGATGCCAGGTTTTGCTCCTCAGGTGGAGGCGACTCTCGCAGAGTGCCATGAGTTGTGCAAGACCATGGGCGACACCTCGACTGCCATGCTGGATGCCCACGTGCTTCAGGACTGCAGGCTGCCGTGTTCTCTGGTTTAGACGGGGGGGGGCACTTTGGCCAAAAGACCGGAACTTGCGCTTCCCCTCACTTTGATTGAGAGCCACTGCCTCAAAACCGGTAGGTGAAGGAAGGGAGAATCCCACAATCCTAATTCCTTTCATGGTTCTGGGTAGACTTTTTTTTTTGAACCAGGTCTTGAGTGCGACTGGTTCTTCACAACACACGAGCCAGGAGCAGACAGAGACTTGTCGAGCTCCAAGGCGTTTGCAGGAGGTCGAGGAGAGATTTTCCATCATCGACGCCAGGATCGAGGTGCAATGTAAAGCTGCTTGGTTTTCAGTGGACCCGACCCACCCGTTCTTTCTGGCTTTGGAGAAGGGAGTCCCTGTAAAACCAACTGGTTGAAAAGTTTTCCTTGTTTTTGCGGGTATTCATTTAAAGCTAGCCAACCAGAGGGCAATAAGCCATTTGTTTCCCATGGAGTTTGGAGTTCTGAGGATGCGCTGATCCTGATCATTGCGGATTCTGCCTCCTTGATGCTCAGCGCCATGGGTTTGGGTTCTGCTGTGGGGCGAAAGCTCGGCCGGGCCTGGGCAGACAGCATCTTTGCTCGCCTCTTCGGCAGCGAAGTGTTTAGGCCGGTGGCAAAAAATAGCCCGCAGGGCTAGGGTTTGTCCTTGCCCGCCATTGAAAGAATGGCCTCGGGACCCACTTTACATAGATGATGACATTCTGTGGGAAAACAAGGGTGGTTGTATTAAACCCCATTGTTTTAAGTGGGTGGTTTGAATTTAAGGGCTGCCGCCCAGTGCCGCCGACCCCTGGATTTAGTTGTGGTTTTGGAGCCACAAAAAACAGTGCCCTTGGTTTTGGTTTCTTTGGTTTCTTTTGGGTGAAATGTTAGTGGCCCCAAAAGGCTAATCTTGTATTTCAGGGTTTTGTTTGCATTTTTGAAGACACGAACATTGAGATTTGGAGTCCTGCCTTGATGATAATCATCACTACGCATCATTCGCAAGAAACCAAAGAAACCAAAACCAAGGGCAGTGTTTTTGGTTGCTCGAAAACCACAACTAAATCCAGGGGTCGGCGGCACTGGGCGGCAGCCCTTGAACAAGAATGAGATGATGATGAGCATCATGATGCGATGACATCAATAATAAGGATGATCATGATGATGATTATGATGATAACTGTGTTACCCTTTGCATCACCAGTGCTGCCTAATAAGAGATGATAATCATGACAAGGATGAGGACTGTGATGATAACTATCATCGTAGCATCCTCGGCATCACCAGTGCCGGCTACTAAGAGACGATGATGACCATGATGATTACGATGACAAAGATGAGGGCTGTGATGATATATATCATCGTAGCATCCTCGGCATCATCAGTGCCGACTAACAAGAGATGATGATGACCATGATGATAGTGATGATAAGGATGAGGACTGTGATGATAACTATCATCGTAGCATCCTCTGCATTACCAATGGGGTCTAACGTTACTTTTGAAATGCAAATAAGAATAAGAATAAGAACAAGAATGAGATGATGATGATGATCATCATGATGATGATGAGAAGAGCGATGAGATCATAATAAGGATGATCATGATGATGATTATGATGATAACTATCATCGTAACACCCTTTGCATCACCAGTGCTGCCTAACAAGAGATGATGATGACATCCTCGGCATCACCAGTGCCGGCTAAGAAGAGATGATAATAACCATGATGATAGTGATGATAAGGATGAGGACTGTGATGATAAGTATCGTCGTAGCATCCTCTGCATTGCCAATGGGGTCTAACGTTACTTTTGAAATGCATATAAGAATAATAAGAGATGATAATAACCATGATGATAGTGATGATAAGGATGATAAATATCGTCGTAGCATTCTCTGCATTGCCAATGGGGTCTAACGTGACTTTTGAAATGCATATAAGAATAAGAACAAGAATGAGATGATGATGATCGTAATGATGATGATAAGAAGAGCGATGACATGATAATAAGGATGATCATGATGATGATTATGATGATAACTATCATCATGATGATGATGAGAGGAGCGATGAGATCCTAATAAGGATGATCATGATGATGATTATGATGATAACTATCATCGTAACACCCTTTGCATCACCAGTGCTGCCTAATAAGAGATGATGATGACATCCTCGGCATCACCAGTGCCGGCTAATGAGAGATGATAATAATCATGATGATAGTGATGATAAGGATGAGGACTGTGATGAGAAGTATTGTCGTAGGGGGTCCAACGTTTGAAATGCATATAAGAATAAGAACAAGAATGAGATGATGATGATCATCATGATGATGATGAGAAGAGCGATGACATCATAATAAGGATGAATCATGATGATGATTATGATGATAACTATCATCGTAACACCCTTTGCATCACCAGTGCTGCCTAATAAGAGATGGTGATGACCGTGATGATACTGAGGACTGTGATGATAACTATCATCGTAGAATCCTCGGCATCACCAGTGCCGGCTACTAAGAGACGATGATCCTCGGCATCACCAGTGCCAGCTAATAAGAGATGATGATGACCATGATGATAATGATGACAAGGATGAGGACTGTGATGATAACTATCATCGTAGCATCCTCGGCATCACCAGCGCCGGCTAATAAGAGATGATGATGACCTGATGCTAGTGATGATAAGGATGAGGACTGTGATCATAGCTATCGTTGTAGCATCCTCTGCATTGCCAATACCCCACGGGCCCAGTATCCCTAGCACTCCTTGTCCCGAAAAGTAAGGGGCTCATTTTTTGAGATAGCGCCCCCTGCGCCCAAGCCTAAATGAGTCCCCTGTGTGGCAGCTACAATGGGCCAGAGCGGGGCGTTAAGCCCCAATCTTCAGGGGCCGGGGGGGGCAGTCATCATGATCATCATGTCCACGCAGCTTTTGCATGTCAAACCCTCTCTAACGCCACAATTGAAACGTATATCAAAAAATAAGGATGATGACGAGGATGATGATGTTGAAGGATATAGAAATGATGATGATGATGATGATGATGTTGACGATAAGAATGATGAAGGATCATATCGATGATGATGATGATGATGATGATGATGATGATGGGCATCCGTATGATGCCAGTAGTTATATGCTTGCCTCAAAGATTAATCCATGCGCTTGTACTGCAACCACCCTTCCCGTGCGCCTCCCCCTTTGAGGAGAAGGGGTCGGCGGATTTCAGGGGTATGATAACGAATGAAATGATATATATATATATATATGTATGTATTTACCGTGGCAACCTGGTTATTCCAAAGAAGGTGGGCATTTGGAGGAGGGGGTATGTTGAATCAACTTTGGTCCTCAAAGGGAAATCAAAAGCAAGTTGTTTCAGCACAATTGTGGATGGACGACCTCTTGCACCACATAAGAAACCCTGGAAGGATGATCCCCCGTAAATACCAACAAACAACGGTTTCCCAGTGGGATGATGTCCATCCGCTCTAGTGGTTTAAATGAGTTTAAACAGGGTTGGCCCAACCCTTTAGGCAGAGCTTTACTCTCCTGATGGAAGCGTGGCACGAGGGGAGCCTGCTCGCCAGCATCAAAGCGGTGTTCCAGTTGCTCGGGGGGCTGTACAGCGGCACAGGGATTCAATTTTGGTGGAAAGCCGTCCGTCTCGTTTTCAGCTGGTGGGATATTGTTGCTACCATGCTGAATGTCGTTGGGCAACTCCTAATCTGGTTCAGCGGCGCTGAGTTCTTGGAGATCGGGGGGGAGTTTCTGCAGTTTTCCTCTGCCGTCGGCGTCATCACCGAGGACGTGATGAGTATAAAGAAGAACTGCCCAGAAAATTTGGAATTCGATCCATGATTTGCAAGTTTGAAGTTTGAAGTTTCAAGCGTTATTGCGCGGCTCGGGTAAAGTCCAAAGTTTGTTGAGCTAGCTTCCGATTTTGCTGCACGCTGCATGCTGCATTTGTAAAGGCTGTAAAGTATAGGCAGGCAGCTATGGACGGAATCCCCTAGCTGCCTCAACTTGCATGTGTACTTGGTTCCAGATCTCCGTTGCTTGAAGAGGCGCTGAGCGAAAAGCACCTTATTATCTCAAATTTAGCAGCACCCTTTTGCCAGCCCATGCAAATCACTTGCAAGCACCTTCACCCTGCAGCCAGCCACCTGAACCACCCTCAGCACGGCTCAGCGCCTCAAAATTCTGCAGGTGAGTCGGTCACCAACCGCACATAATGCGCCAATGGCCAGCGCCAGTTTGGCTCAGCACACACTTACACTTGCCATCACCTGCGTCCCTGTTCCCATTTCGCTGTGAGGTTTAATCTGAACCACCTCAACAGTGGTTGGCGGACAATCCTCGGCCAAATGATGTTGACCAATCCGGACCCATTAACATTCAAGGCACCAACAGTGACCTGTGCGAAGCGAAGAGGGTGGTGAGAACAGCACGATCAGAGAGTGACTAGTGATGTGAGTTGAACAATTAAATTGATCCCGAATTCAGATATTGTTCCATGATAGCCGTTTAGATGTCTGAGTGAGATGTCTTTAGATGTCTTACTGAATTCGTTTGGAAAATTGAAGGCCTTCAAAAATCAAAACGGCAGAAACACTTTTTTGTTAAAACACAACATCCTGCTTTTGCGGGGTGTCACAAAATGCAGACCATATGGACATGAAGGAGCAAGTAACATACTGATAGTATCATCATATACTATATATATAGTAGACAGACCGGACAAGCATAATAATCCCCATTGCAGATATGCCCAGCGCGTGAGCCAAGACACATGTCATTCAAAACCTGAAACCATACAAATGTACCATTCAATCTCAAACAAGCTAGCGCCAGAGAAAGAAAAACAAATAGAAATAAAACATAAAACACATAAAGGCCAGTGCTTTTCTTTGGTACCCCTTGGTGCCCCCCTTTCTGTGGATCCCTTTTGTCCCCTCTCGAGGCATCGGTTGGCTGGCGCGGGCCACGAGTTCCCAGGCGTGTTCGGTCCACGGTTGCACGGGAATGGGGAGCCCAGCTGGACGCAGCTGTGGCGAAGAGTTTGCTTCGGCTCCGGAACTGGTGTGTGCGTGTGGTGTGGGTTTTGGATGGAAGACAGCCTGCTTTTTGGTTTTTGCAGAGTTGATACTTTTGTGGATGTTGGAAGAGGCACAAGTGAGACAAATCAGATGTGACGAAAGGTGAAGATCATGTTTTCTTGATGGTGTGCTGATTTTCGGTCAGATTGAAAAACACAGGAGGTTTAAGTCCATTCTTCGCGAAGTGGCTGCCTGAAAGACTCTTGAAGTTCAAGGTCTTTTTGGGAGCTCTTTGCAATGCCAACAATCTTGGCGTTGCTTCTCACATGTGTCGCGCGCGTGCCCGCGAAGCATTTGCTCTTGATGGGCGAGACCGGCGCCGGCAAAAGCACCTTAGGGAACAAAATCCTTGGCAGAACAGCCTTCCAGGTGGGGCACGATCTCAAATCTTGCACTAGCCAAAGCCAAACAGAGGCGGGCCAGCTTTTTGGGCTCAACCTGACTGTGGAGGTGACAGATACCGGAGGTCTGGGCGATTCTGAGGGGCGTGACGAGACCTTTGTGAAGCATCTGGCTGAGCATGTGAGGTCTCACGGGGGGTTTGACGGAATTCTTTACGTTCACAATGCCTGTGTGCCACGAATCACCATGGGAGCACAGAATTCCATGTTGGAGATGTTGCACACCTTGGCTGATAATGCCACCCGCGGCAAGTTATGGCGTCACTTTGGGATTGTGCTCACACAGTGCGACATGTACTATCCTTTGTACACGACACAACTGCCGAAAGTGCTGCGTGAGAGATTCGAAGAGTTGGACTTTGATGTTCCCATTTTCTGGTTTGTGCAGGACAAAGTCAGCATTTGGGGCACAATCTGGGGCACAATTTGGGGCACAACAAGCTTGGCAGATCAGCTAATCTCTTGGGTGAAGATGCTGCCAGTTCGCTTCACAATACCACATGAAACCAAGAGAGAGGAGCTGAAGCGCGAGTTTGAGGAGAATCGGAAACAAGAGATGTACCAGAAGCGACGAGTTCAGGAACTTGAGAAGCAAGCTCAACAGCTTAAGGCGCAGCAGCACTATAGTCACTCTCGGAGTGACTATAGTGGCGGCTCGAGCAGATATTCTGCAAGTAGCGGCTGCTTCTCCAAGGCATCCCTGGTCAATGTTCAAGCCAAAGGCCAGGAGTTTGCAACAAAATTGACAGAAAACTTGTTTTAAAGGGTGTTTAAACAATTCTTGTTTCGTGTCGCTAATTAAGAATGCGACGCCCTTCTTCCTCTATCCGAGGTGAGGGTGGGAGACAATCTGGCTACACTGGGTTCTCGGTATGTGGAGGTTGTTGCGTGGATGCATCACGACCTTCAGGTGGTTGGAGATGCCGTAGAGATTGTCTCAACAGCGGGCACTCTACGGCTCACGCCTGACCATTGGCTGTTTGTGGAGGTCCACCAGGAAACCGAGGCAGTTCCTGCCCGGCAAGTCAAAGTCGGTGACCGCGTCCTTGCTGCGAATGGATTGGCCAATGTGACGGCGGTGGCCAAGACGGAGATGCATGGCTACATGTTGCCTTTGACCACAAGTGGAGACTTGCTGGTCGATGGAATGCTAGCGTCGTGTTATGGCGAAGTTGGGGGGCTATCCCATAGCACCATCAATTGGCTCATGGCTCCACTTCGTTCCCGCGCCTTTCCCCAGTGGCTTCGGCCACAAACGGATCAGGCATGGAGCAAGTATGCCACCCTTCTCAAGAAAGTTGTTTGGCTCTGGCGATGACTTTCAGTGGGACACCAGATCCCATGAAAAGTTATCTCTTCCCGTTGAGAGGTTAGGATTCCTCTACAGGCTGCGACAGAGAATCAGCAGGAGTCCACATTTTTGGTACGATTTTAACGTTGCAGCAGTTCTCTCCACCCAGGAGCGTAACAGCTGCAAGAGCGCAACGGAGAAATACAACGAACATATTTTTGTTCAATCGTTCCAGGGAAAGTAATTGCGCCCAAGAAGATTTGCCTGGAACCTAAAGCCTGCACCTTTGGAAGACAAACACTTCTTTTGCAGACAGTTTTCAGGTTATTATCCATCAAAATAATTCCACACGTGTAAGTCTGGTAATCATCAGAGGTTGTAGATGTTGAGTCAGGGAACCATACACCGTGGATGGTTGCGAAATCCATTTCGCCAAGAAAGCCTGGTTTCTGATGATGCCCCTGATGCCAACAAACGTATGGTTTCCGTGGTTTCATTTCGTGGTTCGGTGCCGGATTGCGTCCATCCACAAGACACGAAACCCCACGGCTCCAGGCCATGTCAAGCTCCTCATCCTTCCGAAAAAGAAGCGATCGACTTGCCTGGCATTCAATGAAAAGAAGCCCTTTTGGGTGGCTCGTCTTTTGAGGGAGCCCCTTTGGGGTGGGCGGAAGCCAACTCCATTGGTTTGAAGAAACAGGCCTAATTAACAAGGAGTGCCCCGTGAGTTGCGTCGGGCAGGCTCATCTGGTCGGAATCAATTAGATGCCTTGATGGAACCAAAGGGTCCACCGAATGGGCCCCTTTGACGGGATGTGGAGTTACGAACCACTCCCTGGCGGTTCCCAAGGTTTGTTCATGTTGATTCCAAGAAGCTTGCGCTCATTCGCTGTGACGCCGTTGCTCATGCCCCGTTGCCTGCATTCGGAGCATCTTATGGCCGCTGCCATGTTGCTTCTGTGGTCATGCGACAGCGGCGGCAATGCCGAGCTTGGGCAAGACTGGTGAGGAGCGATAGATGGCAATTGGAGCCTTTGAAGAGTTGTAACTTCGATTTCAGCTGAGCTCAGAAGCATCTGACACTTTCGTGTTGCAATGCTGGGAGCACCTGGTGGTAGTCCAACACAAAGGGGCTGAATCGCTTGGGGGAAGTCCTCCCCACACGCTTTGGACCGGTTTGAGTAGGCTGCTTCGCGATGGCGGCTGTGGCGTTTTCCGCGTCACGTTGCCATGCGCCCAGCCTGGTGTTGCAGGCTGGCGGAGCCGGAGATGCCGTTGACCTTGGAGCATAGCAGCTTGTTTCTCATCTTGAACTGGAAATTCCTTGCTGGTGCAATCAGTCGGGGTGTTGAGAAACCCGGGCAATCCTGAGGAAACCACCAGTTGCATGGTTTTATGTCTTGAGGTCATTCCGTTTTCTCATTCCCTGCCTGCCTCTCGATCGAGGAACCAAAACTTGGCTTCGCCTCGCTCCCTCGGACCATGACCATGTCCCAGTGGCACACTGTGTGTTCCTTTGGCTGAGGCTTCCTTCAAAAGCCCACACAAAGCTTGGCACTCCCCCACTCCACTGGGCGATATGATATTTTTGCAGCCAAATTTTGAACTGACGCGGCAGTCCGGCGAAGGTGGCTATTTTCTTGACATAGATATGAAGACACCCGGAACAACAAGGACGTTGCTAATTTGCTCTGTTTAGAGATGTAAAGGAGAATACATCTATGTGACTCACTTGTTGGGCAATGCATGAAATCACACAAGTGAGAATTCACAACAAGCGGCCGGCAGATTGACTTTTCTGACCAATCCATACGGGAAGTAAAGCTCACTCGCTGACTTCCTGGACTTTAAGCTTCTTGGGAAGACCGTTTGACTGAAGTGAGATGGTGACCGTAGACCTCTGCACAGGCGTCTCGGGGGGTTTGCTCCGGCGGCTTCCGCGGCGGAAGCCGGGGCGTCCACCCGCGCGGCTCGCTGGCGCCGGCGGTTTCGCTGTTGACCGCGGCGGCGTTTGCGAGAGGCGCCGATGTGGAGAGATGTGATGTGGTTTGGCCGATTTTTTTTGGCGACTGCCAGCCGTAGCGCCTTGCCCGGATACTTTGAGACTGTTAGACTTTTAGAGTTTAGAGGGATTCATGACATATCTCACCAAGTTCAGAGAAATGTGTGACATATCCCAAGAGTTAAACTTTTAACGAGGCATCAACAAACCACCAAGCTTGGTTGGGGCGCACACTCACACCATTGTTTGAGTTCCATTAAAGCCACCCAAGAGGGGGACCCATGTGCAGGTGTTTCTTTTGAGTCTTAGTACCCTTTTTGGGTTGCTTGAAAGGGAAGCCAAAAGGGCAAACTTATTTGTTAGGGGGAAGGTACCGGTACCCTAATTTTGAGTCGAACCCATGTCACAAAGGCGTGAGGAACTCAGGTGGCCTTTCAGTTTGCACTGGTTAGAGTTGGGCGCTAAGTTGGCATCGGATTGTTCTAAAGCAAACCAGTGAGGAATGCTAGACACAGGGAGGTCTACACATTTCAGCGCATCTGGATTTCTTGTTTGATCAGATGTTTAAAGATAGATCCTATTGCAGGTACGGTGTTGGTGATGTACAATGTCGAACCCGCTTTTATATGTGGGATCTCTTTTATAGACAGTTCTTTCCTCATGCAGGATTCTGTGACTTTTTCGAGGGGCGATTTAATAGCAAGGTTTTCTATGTTCTTTCCGGACAGAACCTCCAGGCAAACAAATCACACAAAGCGGTTGCCTTTTGCTTTCAAAGGTGTTTTTTCTTAGCCCTTCCTGCTAAAGGCCTTACTTAGATTTAGGAATTCCTGTTTTCGACCCCAAACCATCGATCTGTATATAAGTCCCCTATAACACAAAAGCCACACAGTCACATCTGATTGTTTCGAGAGTGGCTTTAAGGTCAAGCTTGTTTTTGCATGGATGTAAAATTGCAAGATCAAAGCCTTAGCAATTGCGGTGGCAATGCTAGTTCTAGAATTAGCAATACTAAATTAAGTACTAGGAGTCTGAAAGGAAGTGTTGACAAAACTAAATTTGGAATTGGCAGCACACAACTACAGTAAGTGCAGGGAATCCGACCGTAACTTTGGCAATACCAAATTTGGAAGAGGTCCCTCTAAATTAAGTATTGGCAAGCCCAAGTCCACCCCCCCCCCCTTGAACCACTGAAGAGACCCCAGATGACAGTTGGCGCTGTTCCAGGGGGGCACCCTACATTAACTGTAGCTTTGTTTCAAGCCAACAGAATCATAGCATCCTAACGCCCTCTTCTACTAGCTAGCCCCTCGACTTGCCTTCCGAAACCAGATTCTGAGGCTTTTTCACCTATAGGGAAACAAGGTGGAAGACAGTTTCACGAAATTGCGAGGAGCCTCAGCGCTGCCTCACCCTTCCTACCATGACAAGACATGACCCGTTAAAGAGGAGGCATATTTGCCTCTTCTAGGTTCTCTGTCTTCTGTTGGAGGGAGAAAGGGTATCTCGCGCTGTACCTTTGAACTTCGGACATGAGTCGTGGACCTGATTTCGGGCAATTGTTGGAGTTGCCAAGATATTCCCGTGTCGCTCACTTGGTTGTTTTGCTGCTCTCAAAGTGAGAGAAAGGCAAACTGTCGGGGCCTTCGGGGTCAGCCGAGGCGTATCGATCAAGAACATGCATACAGCCGTGCATAGGAGGTTAAAACGAAAGGTAGGTAGTTTCCCTTTGGTTTCCCTGTAAAACCATCCAAACAAGGGGTCCCCTATGTTGAGAAGCCCTCATATTATGTATATATATATATGTCTCATATATATATATATATATGTATATGCACCCTCCCCCCCCAACTGTAAGGGGTCAAGCTATTTTGGACAGATATTACCAAAAGTGGGCTCATTTCACAACTTTGGCAGACTTTTGCAGATGATTCATTCAAACTTTGCCACCCCTGTGAAACGCATTTGCTCTTCTACGGGCTGTGGTATTCCTCCTCTTGATCCTTTTCCAATCACTTCAAACATATTCCGGCCATAAACTCAGCCAATTTCAGCACTGGTCAATTTGACAAGCAGCATCATAGGCCCAGTTTGCTACAGTGTAAAAGCGAAGTTAGGTAACGTGTCATATTGCACAGGGTCTAGACCACGATATGTCATACATACATCTCTCAAGTTTTAAAAATGTCAGCCAAGAAAAAAAGCATGTTTGCTGTCAAATAGCAATCGTGATGTTCTCTCAATGTATGCAGATCAATTTTGCTTTGGCATAGTCTTCATCGCTAATGAGATCCTCGCTCAATTGGCTGTAAAACATCTCTGTGAGGGTACCAGCGCAAGTGTATCAATCAAAGATGCAAACTATACCTGTTCTGCTTCGCCTGCACCTCTTCGATTTCTCATCTCAACTGTTGTGCAAATCTTCCTTGTTTGTGAACTTACAAACCTGTGTGGCAAGACCAAAACATTTGCTACGCATCCTCCATCTCTCATCTCAACTCATCAGCACATCCTCTCCGCCTGTCAGCTCACAAACCTCGGCCAATGCCAAAACATCTGCTCACACCTCGTATGCCCTGACCAATGCCACGCAGTTTGCTAAAATAACTAACGTCCCTAAACAAAATTTGTTCTGCACACGACGTGCCAAACAGCTGCAAAACACTGGTATTTACAGTGTTCGTTCAATATGCAGGGGTTGGTGTGGAGTTGTTTAAGTAATAAACAATAAGTTTAATATTAAAAACAGTAAATATATCCATACGCAGAACTATGATGTGTACTTGCCGCGCACAAGTCGAAAGAGATAGTAAGGTGCACACACACCCAAACAGGAATGACTGAACGCAGACCCTTTAAAGCACTCTTGGATCTAAGATTCAAGATTCCCACAACTCTATATCCCGAATCCTGAATCCATTACGCCTCCCCCCCCCCCCAAACCGCTTTAAAGCACTTTTGGATCTAAGATTCAAGATTCAAGATTTCCACAACTCTAGATCTTGAATCTTGAATCCAACATGGTCCCTCAAAACGCTTCAAAGCGCTTTGAAGCGTTTTTATCATGGATTCAAGATTCAAGGACTAGGGTCCTGGGAATCTTGAATCTTGAATCCATGATTAAAAAAAAAAAAAAACACGCTTCAAAGCGATTTGAAGCGTTGTTTGGGGCGTAATGGATTCAAGATTCAAGATCTGGAGTCCTGGGAATCTATGAATCTTAGATCCAAAAGTGCTTTAAAGCGCTCTAAAGCGTTTTAGGTGGATACAGTCACCGTCACGTATCAGCAGATGCGCGCATAGTTAAATGCTCAAAATTTGGAGTGCCGGGGGGGGGGGGGGGACCATATATATATATATATATATATGCAAACCGAAAAACGCGAATCGTTAAGCTCAGAACGATTGGATTTGCGGAAAGTCAGAGGCCATCTGCTACTCTTGTGACCTGTCCATCGTTTTAGCCTAAACTTGATGGCGCATCAAACTGCACAGCAGGGTTATTTTTTATTATTATGGTGGTTTTTCTTCCTTGCCACTTTGCAGAGCCAAGCACAAGTTCCAGCGAAGCCTTACACATTTCGTCTTGGCGTCAGTAAATGTATGTTCTCATCATAAAATTTGGGGCGCTTCAAAGCCTTTGATTCTCGCCTCAAGTTCTCCAGCCGTGTGCGCTCAGCCATCGCCTCACTAGTAACTTGTTTGTTTCTCTGCATTTTTGGCTAGTTTGGTGGTTTGGTTTTGGTTTTGCTTTGGATTCTGGGCGGTTCCCTGCCATCCTCTTAAGTGTTTAGGGTTTAGGGGGGGGTTTTCATTTCACACACTAGCAATGAACACTTTTAGAAGTGGATCCGAGGGCAGCCCAGTCCAGCGACACTGCCGGCGATGTTTGAAAAGAATCGCAAGGTCCCACCCCCCCGACTAGGCCAGAACGGCAGATTGAGGTACGCGGTAAACCCGAGCGATAACAGTCTTCTGTTTCTTGGCGTTTTTGTCTTCGGCCATCAAAGCGTCGCCGCGAATCGGATTTCCGCCGGCCTTCTTCCAGGCGCGGCTCGGCGGCGCAGGCGAGGTGGGCGGGGCTCTGGGAGTTGTTTCCCGCGCGTGTAAGCCCGCGACGTCTACGATGAATCCAGAACCTGACCTACCCTTGCCTGTTGTTGGATCAAGTTTTTAGTTTTTTTGTTTGGGTGCTCTTCATGTTTGGTAATGGGGCTGCAAGAACAGCGTGTTTTGCTACCATACCAAGGGTTGCACAGTTCCTGGAAGTGGACAAAGGGGTTCCGGAATGTTGTTTTTCAAAGCCCGATCGTCAGATTTCACGATTGTTGGAGGGAGGGAAAAGGTCCTTTTTGACTTCTGGCCCTTTCGGGTCCCCATCGACCTGAAAAAAACACAACTTGGTGCAGGATCTAAGTCTGGTGCAGTGGCCCAGTAAATTGGGGGCCGTTTCAGGCAGATACGGCTGGAAAGGCACCCAGCTGGGCGTATCTCAGCCCAGTGGACTTCACCCGGCTGGACCCTTGGTGAGGGAAACTAACTGGAGCACCATTTCTTGGTTGCAGCCCTGAAAAAGTGGACAAACCTCTTGCCGACCGTTGGACAAATGGGACAAAGCTCTTTCCAACCCTCTGACAAATTCGAGAAACCTCCCACCCGGAGTCTCCTTCTGACCCTTTAATTACGTTAACAATGGGGTCATTTCCTTTAAAAGCAGTCACACGTTGTGACCCCTTTTTCTTGGATGATGGAGAAACCGCCTACCAACCTGAAAGGACCACCACGGGTTTGCGCTTTGGCGCTAGGATGTCCAGCCTGGCGGCTTCGGCAGCCCAAGTGAAGGAACTCGGCCTGGCAGAGGAGCCGCTTCCATTTGCTCAAGAGTATCGCCCGAGAAAGCGTTTTGTTTGGGGACGGTGACACAAGGGTGCCCTGGAACCTGATATAAGGTTAAGCTTCCATTTGCTCAGAAGAGTATTTGCTCGAAGAATATGTGTTTTTGTTTTATTTTGTTGGTTTTAAAGGGAATCCATCACCACTGGAAAATAGTTGCTCATTTTTCCAGGCGGCTCTGCTGCGAATGATGGCGACGTATTCGGGTGTGTAAGCAGATTACCATGATATAGGTGCGTCGCCATCCCTTAAATCAGGGCTTGGATACTAAACTTACATAATTTCCGTCATCAAAGAACCCCCCCTCAATGAAATGTGCACAAATGGAAGCTTTTGTTATCGACAGTAGGTTCGCCGCAGTCTACTTACAAACAATAGCGATTATGCTGTGGACGGACAAACATCCTGCACTTGGTACGCTGATTTATCCCAGTATGTTGGATTCAGCGGAAACCAAAAGGCAAGCCGCTAGCTATTTTGACACGTACCCAACTTGTGAGTAGCACCACAGTTGTGGTTTACTGTTTTGTTAAAGAGGATGTCTCAACCACGAACACCACAATTCCGCAACTATGAAGTGCTTGAGCTCGGACACTCTGGGGGCACTTGGACGAATACCAGGGGTGTAGCTCAAAATCTGGGAAAACAGGGGAAGAGTCCACAGCGCATGCAAACGGCTGCTAACCATTTCAAAAATGCCAACTTACGCTCATGCATGATGAATTTCAGCTGGTGACGTTTCCGAGCAAATGGCAAGATGCTTGGCATATGCTTTTGTTTCCTCAACTGCAACCCGCGGATCAGATGGGCCGTTTAATGACGAGGTTGTGCAGAGTTCCGTGCATGGCATTTCTGCGTGCTGAGGTTCCTGTGCGGGGGGCACGTGTTTTTCCATGGCTTCCCAAAGTTCCCACGCCGGGAACCCTTGCAACTTGCTGGTGCTCAGTAGGGAATGAGAAATGGAATGACCCCCACCATCCAACTGGTGGTTTTCTTTATTCGGGGACCAAAGCCCAGGTTCATTCCATGTCTCATTCCCTATCGCGGCAAGAGAAAGACATGTCAACCTGAAGCGACGCCAGGAGAACCTGGCGCTGGTCTTCGTGAAGCCCCATGCTTGCACGCCAAAGGCCGGATCCCCGATGGGGTTAAGGCCATCAGAACACGAAGCCTGGCAACCAGGAGTTCACCCCATAATTTTGGGGCTATAACACATCTTTAAGTTGGAATTTCGAGGGTCCAATGCGATTCGTGGGGGCCAGAATTGTATTAAAAGAAAAAGCACAAAAGCAGCTTGTATATTTTGAAGATATGAGGGTACCGAGCGTAGCAACCAGTCATACTGCAGAGACTGACACTGACAAGGAGACACTGTTGCGAGATTGTGGGGTGCGACTTCTTTCTGCATCTTGGGGGTTCCATATTTAGGGGAATGCATTTCGAAAATACCTGTCCTCGTTTTCATTTTGTGGGTGTAGGTTCCTTCCTAACATGAAGCAACGAATAAACACATAATATATATATATATATATGTATATTTATGTATATATATGTCACATACATATATATATATATATATATGATTTGTATATATATATATATATCAACCAGTTTTGAAGGGGGACAGAAGACGCAGACGACCCTTGGCTGATCGATGTCCAAGCGGCAAGAATCAAATACCCTGAGACACCCTCAGCCCCGAGCTAAAACCCCGAACAACTCCAAGCAGCTTGAATCATTTAGTGAGATCTCTCACAAACACAGAAACAAGAAGCGGAGGAACAGGCATGCAGCAACCCGAGTGCAACACCAAGATCATTTGGGTTTGTCTCAAAGTTGGAGAGCCCCAAAATGATTGGTTTCGTTTTGGTCTTCCGTTAAAACCAACCAGCCAGCCAGCCAACCAGCCAACCAGCCAACCAACCAGCCAACCAATCAACCATCAGTCAACTGTCCTTCTCCAAAGGCGCCCCCGCGAAAGAATTGCCACACCCATGTGCAATGGCCAAACGCCCTTTAGCTTTTTCTGGGTCTCAGTAGTTTTGGGAATGCACCGTTCTCCCAAACACCTCAAAGGAAGCAGCAAGGTACGGTTCAGTTTGGGCTCATTCCTGAGAACTGGATAGAAAACCAGCTGCCCTAGCCCACTTCTTCGATTTTGGCTTCAGGTGCTGCAGCTGGTGCCAGACTTCCTTCGGGAGTCCGGACTCCAGGCCGCGCTTGTTGAATGGGGTTGTGGGGCGGGATGAACCAGCTGGTCCCTGGATCCTTGGACTTTTTTGGCTCCGAATGACCCAAAATTGCATCATAGAGTCATGTTTGCAATATTCAGCCCCTCACATGAATCTACGGCAGGTGAAATTGGCATGAATGGGGAAGGGATGACTTGCCTCACTCGTTCCCTCACGTTGATTTGACAAGCTGTTGGCCCAGCTGCAAGGGATCCATGACACCATGTCATTGTTTTTTTTGTGATTCGTGCATGGCCCAAAATTAACTTGGTGGCTCCTAGCCATCCGGTTCCTTGGCTTTTTAGCTTTGTAGTTGGTTCGGTGGTCCATATAACCCACTAGAAGTTAAACTTTTAGCAGGGGATCTGAGGACAGCCCAGGTACACAGCTGGGGCTGCACAAGTTTTAGCCTTTGTTCCCAATACCCATTGGGGATTCCATCCGATTTGGGGCCATTTGGCCCATGAAAAACTGTCCTCCAAGCTTATCACTGGAGTTTCCCTCGAAGGGATCCTCAGGTCGGAGTTCCGTTGCTCGCCAAGCGGTTGGCAGGGGGGGAAAACATCTCTTTTGGTCACGGGGGAGTGAAATCTAAGCTTAGAAGCTTCCCTTGGATGGTGCTGAAAAGGAACCCCAAAAAACAACTGTGCCGTGTTTGGTGTTCTGATCCTTTTGCAGGTTTGAATGCCCATAATGCCCCAAGAATTGGGGGAGGCCCTTTCGGCTTTTGGAAGGGAACTCGAGAAGTAATCCCACCATCTTTAGGGGTTCCAACAACTATCCAAAATAGGCGCCATCAAGCAATCATTCTTTAGGGCTGTGTTTCCAGTAAACACAAGGAAACATACCCCCCCCCCATTCTGCAGCGATACCGCACCCCGACTTGCTTTTCGTGTCCCATGAATGTCTCATTTCAGATCCGGCTTTGGGGGAAAGTGATCCATCAATGGGACCCTTATGGCAGCAAAAGCTACGGTGTGCTCCCCAACATCCGATGCTCGGTAGGAATCCTTCCCCAGTTCCCTTTGATTTGCCGTATTTGAAGTTCCGCTTCTAGCGCCCCCACCAAAAATAAACCTTGGCCGTAACCCAAAAAACGGATGGAAAACGTCGCCAGGTCCTTCGCAGTGGGTCCGTGGGTGCAAAGACCATCGAGGACCGTGCTAAACGACTGCCCAGGGTAGGAGGCTCAGACAACTTTGTGTTTTTTCCCCAACAGCTGAAACTATGGGGTCGCTGGGATGGTTTGGGGCACCTAGAGGTGTTGGGGATTCCACCTGGGCTTACTTTTGGGACTCCCTTTTGGTGGGCGTTAAAGGAAGCCAACGGAGAACCAATCACTTGGGTCATTTTGAAACACAGTCAAATCCGGTGAGTCTGCCCTTCATATATGGTGTGTTTCTCAAAAGGAGGGTGGGAGGATCTGGATTTGTCTTCTTTGAGAATCGGTCCCCGTTTCCGGATGGTTTTTAGGGAAGCCCAAAAGAAACCAAAGGTGGGGTCCAAATGATTAAATCCCGAGAGACCCATCCCCCTGTTTGAGTCTCTTTTTAGCAGTGTAGCAGATGGATGTCTTGCTTCTGGAAACAATTCCCCATTGAGATCCCCGGCAAGATGCGCCACCTCGCCTGAAAGGCCTAACTTTGAGAACTCCAAATGGGCCGGACAAGGGATTGATGTCACAGCTGGCAAGAGACCTCTTCTAGGTCCAGTTTTAGCGCCTCTCCTGCCGGCGCAGAAGCGTCTTATACAGGGACAAAGTGGTGCCCTGTGTAAGTTTTTTTTTTTTTTTTTTTTTTAAGACGGGCAGAGCCGCTTTCCAAAGTCCTTTCAAAACACACAGGGTTGCCCGAAAATGTGTGTGAGTGTGTGTCCTCATATTTCCGGCAGAATGAACGGGTTCCCTTTTACCAAAACAAGTTGTGGGACCAGGGGGGACATGCCACTTCTTTGGTTGCGCTAGCAGAATTCACCCAGATGGATGAGTTTCTCCGGCATGGTTCCTTCATTGGAACCCATTGATCTCCTGGGTGCTAAAAAGATCCAAAATGTTTAATTGATCCCAAATACGGTAAAGCCCTATTTGCTTCCGGCAAGCCCTTCAGGTCTTCTAACAAAACAGAGGTCACGTCTTCACATTTCGCCGGAGGCCCCGAGCCTTTTGCAGTGAGGAGCAGGGCATCATCGACGCCCACTACGCTGCCATCGCGAAGGTGGGCATGGCGCGGAGCTCGGGGACGGCCAAAGATGTCTAAACGCGTGCGTATCTGTTTTGAGGGTACCCCTAAACGCACACACCCATATGGTTGTGGCAAAAAATCCATGGAATACCCAGAATGGCATCTTGGTAGATGGAATCAATGGGAACGAAAACTAAAACCTGCATTACTCTAGCTCTTTTATTTGAGCCACTGCCATGTGTGTATATAAGTCACCGTATGCAATATATATATATATATATATTTCTACAGCAATATACATAGCATGTATATGACTTGTACGTGTATACATGTGCGAACACGTGCGCGTGTATGTTCCGAGTCCAACTCCACCCAACCAGGTTGCTTTTTGAGTCTCAGATGGTTCCACCCATTGCTTGGGAGAACTAGCTATGTGCATCCTATTTGCTTCCTCGTGGTTATTTGGGTTCGACAGCATGTTTGCACGGAAGGGATGCCAGTCTTGGTTTCTCTCTCGCTCCCTTCCAGGGTTCCTGCTGAGGCGAGGGACCTGAGCACCCTGGGCCCGTGCCCTAGAATCCGGTCAGCGAAAAACGACCTGCCCTGCGTGGCACGTCGACCTCGTGTCTCAGTTCAAAACTGACCTGCCAGTTTTTTTTTTTTTTAATGAACTATTTGTTCTATTGCCCCCTGTTGGTTTTCAAGGGAATCTCTCACTACTGGAAGTTCAATATGTCCAGGGCCTTGAGAAATGGAGGTGACTGAGCCTTTGGTTTTCCCCTTGTGGTTTTTCCACTTCTAAGGTGCCAGGTTCACCATTTACTTGCATGTGAGTCACTGGAATGCAGTGAAGTGATCAACTTGGGAAGGTCCGGTGAATCTGGGGGAAGCCGTTCGAGCCTGCAAAGTGAACCGGGGGACAGGGTACAATACACCGTTTGATGCCGGTGGAAACTAAAGGGGTAAGCACAGCATCGGAAGCCAAGACCAGATGGCCGTTGTCTGTGAAACCAAGAATCCCTGGAAAGTAACTACTTTGATTCACGATAGGAATCCCATTTTAGTACTGTGGATGGACAACATCCTGCACCACTTTGAAACCATGGTAAGCCATAGTTTGTTGGTATCTGCAGGTGAATCATCATTCCAGGGTTTCTTAGGTGGTGCAAGATTTCGTCCATCCACAGTATCATAGACAACAGATGGATGGACGGCTCTCTTATGAGAACTTCCCTGCAACAGGGAGGACTTCCTTGAGCAGGTAGTCCACGCCCAAGAAAAACTTTACCAATCCGAGGCCAACATGAACCACCTTCAGCCGAGCGGAAATATACTAGGAACCCCTGAAGCAAGCCGCGTAGGCTTTGCAAAAGGCGCCCTGCCAGTCCTGAATCCTCAATGCTTGTGCCAGAGTTTTGCGGTGTCTCACCACGGATTAATACGCATCTCATTTGGAACAACCTGCCATTCCCGCGCTTCCGGCAATCCTTCGACATGTCCATTTCCAGATTTCACATGTTGCTTGCCCGGCAGCACTGCTACTGGTGTGTGTGTGTGTGTTTGCGTTTTGTAAGGGTACCCTTTTCAAGTTGGTTGAAAGGAACACGACACCGTTTTTGAGTTTTGAGACAAGCTCATAATGTTGACCCAGGACTAATAAAGCCGTCCCATTCTTTTGGGGGGTGTTCCCTCCAAAAAGTGTTGTGAATCCCCACTAAAAGGAATTGGACACCCCCGATCAAAATGAACCAGGGGTTCTGCTTATTCCGGGGTTAACATTATGTAATTTTATAGGTCTTCAGGGTCCCACGAATCCGCTCTTCAAGGCCTGGAGGGCACGGCGGCGAAGTTCGAAGCCGGCTACGGCAGGCGTGGGGTGTTGGCCATTTGGGGCCTGGGCTCGGCTTGGGGATTTTTGGGCCTGTTGCTCCTTGTTTCAGCTAGCCCAAATGCCCATAGGTAAGGGCGATTCTCCGTTTCTTCTGATCCAAGCAGCAGAGAGAACTGAGCGGTTTTTCCCGTGTGAAATATCCAGACGAGTTGTGTGCTGGCTGATTTGATGAGGAAGGAAGGTGACTTGCTGACTTGGTTTGCGGGTGTTGGATGTTGAATGACCACATGCATTTGTGGCACAGGTGCGGGGGAAAGAGGGGGGGAAGCAGCCTGGTATCTTCCTTGGTATGGACGGCTTGGAATGGAGGTTTCTCCGGCAGACCTTGTGCATCAGCGGATCACGTGTTTGACGCCACTTGTATCGCTGGGGATTTTCGGCTGTTCCGTATCCTGACCTGTGCCACAATATAAGAGGCTCAATCAGCACGATTGCTACGCACATTATTGTCTTGGGATCGTTATAATTGGTTGAAACGTGCCCCACAAACCCTATCTACTCATGGCCCGTACGCTACCTCTTTGTGCCAAGCACTCCACCGAATTCATCTTCGGTGGCGGAGTGCTGACACCAAGCGATTATATACTGCCATCATACAGCTTGACGCCATCACGCTGACTGGCTGTGTATGCATAAATTAGCTCTTCCCCTTGCATTGAACTGGCTCTGTATGCAGCCTATGTTTTTAATTGTCTCCCGACCCCAAATCTCCCAATACTAAATTTGAAATCGCCTACTAAACCAATTCCAAACTCTTGGATTTCCCGTCGACCCTGTGCAGTAGTATCGGGGGTTACCTTGCAAGCAGCAGTACTATAGAGACAGCACCTCCAAACTCGGGCAACTAAGGGAGACAACACAGATTCTCTTCCATGTTTAGACCAACGTATGCCTTCTCTAAGCAAAGCCACATTTGACCCAAGGATTGCAGTGACATCCCCTGGCGCAGACAAATGGACCCCACAAACACATATTGCTTGGCCCCGGGCAATGTTGGGAGGGGGGGCATATTTATTTGTAGGGGGAAGGGGATTGCACCAAAGTGTTCGTGCTGGGAACGCGCAATTACTCACCCTCCAGTTGACTAATCGGGGAAGTCCCATTTCAGAGTGGATCCTTCACTTTTTCCGGAATCCCTATAAATCCGCCAGAGTGTTGCTTGTTTCCGCGTCGACATAATTACTATTTCTATCGGATAGATGGGTGTGCCTTAGATTAAGGGAACCTGCCGAATTCCGAATCCCGAATCCCGAATCCCGAAGCCCGACCAGAGGCTGGGGCAATCCCAGTCCGGAATCCTGAACCCGAATCCCGAATCCCGAACAAAATGGGTGGGTCTTCCTTTTCATCTCCCTTTGGTCCTTTGAGGGAATCCCTAGGTTCAGTCCCTCATTCCCCACTCGGCAGCAGCAAGAAGACGGTTTTCCTTTTGAAGCCACCCCAATGGTACCGCAGGTCCTTGGACGACGCCTTGGCCAAGAACGAGGTGTGCAGCGCGGTCACGGCCATGGAGGCCGAAGGTTTCGTGCGTCGCATGGCGTGGATTCAGGTGACTGGGTGGTCCCTTTGCGGCTACCTTAATTGAAACATGTGGCTGTGGGTCAAAGCCATTTGGCTGCTGGCGTTTTCCAAGGGCCCCTGTTCCTGTGCATTGTTGACTCAAAGGTTACGACCTTGACCGATTGAAAAGGCCCAGATCCCTTTGAAGCTCTGGACCAAAAAGTTCCTGTGTCTCTGAAACCAGGGAAGACCAACATAATTATTTTGTTCCCGAAGCCATAGAAAGCCCACAAATGGTTTCCCGTTCCCCCACCCCCAAACCGCTGCCCTCACAAAAATGAGCGATGTATATACATCCCATAGTCTAGTGGCCATATATGCCCTCAGAGGAGAGCGATGTGTATACATTCTTTGTAGTGGCTACATAACATAGTTTTGGGGTAGTGCAACCATCTTCCTCCCCCCCCCCCCCCTGCCTGGTGGGTTTTGGCAGGTGCTGCAGGTGGACCCCAGCGAGCTGCTGCGAAGATGCCTGGCGGCGGGCTACGAGAAGCTGAGGCTTGGGCCCGGGGGTGCAAGTGTCAGTACTTGGATCGGCCAAGTGAGTAAGTGGTGATCGCCACCTGAAATATAACCTACTTATGAGTGAGTTGGGCCGGTTGTCAGTTATACCCCAGGTGGCTAAATAAACTTACTAACTTGGCCGCACCCAAGTAACATTCTCCCAAAGCATGACTTGCTGCACCGACTCTTGTGCACGACAACTGTAGTTCTTTGAACTTATAGATGGCCTGCCCTTTGGAAGACTCTTCTTTGAGGGGCGTGTTCTTTCTGGGCCTGCTATTTGAGCAACACTTCGAACCCGTTTTTTCTGGCTTGACCTTCTTGCAGGTGCTCAGCAGGTAATGTGGGAATCCCCAGGTTCATTCCCTCATTCCCTGCTTATCGCACCAGCAAGTCTTGTTTCACCTTGGAACTACCGTGGATGGACGAAATCCTGCACCACCGAAGAAACCATGGGAAACCAATGTTTGTCGGTGCAGGGAACTCATCAGACACCAGGGTTTCGTTTGTGGTGCGAGAAGCGGATGTCGCAACCATCCACAGAAAGCCTGGCTTGGAACCACATGTGGAATTTTACTCTGGAGTCCCCCAACCCTCAAAAACCGACCCCAAACCGACCCGAAACCGACCCGAAGCGAGACTGGTTTAAAAAAGGCTGCGAGGGGAGAAAAGAAGGGTTGGAAGGTGAACAAAAACAGAAAGGTGAGAACAAAAACCCGGTTCCAAGGTGGAATTGGAGTCAGGTGCAAGGCGCAAGGTAGAAAAAAGGATTGCCCTTGTTAAACCAACCATTTTTGTAGGGAAAGTCCGCTGATTTTGACACATACGCATCTCTCAGGGGCCCTTTGACCTCCCTCACTCGGCCAGGTCTGGCCTCTACTGCGCGCGCCTGGAGGGTGGCGAGACCGGCCAGCCGGGGCCCCGGCGCATGGGGCGGAGCGCTCGGTTCGCCTGGGCCCGCGAATTCGTTCAGGGACGAAATACCTCGGGTACCTTCCAATTCCATTCTTTCCAGGGATCCTTCTAGAAAACCTCCGGAAAGCCAGGGAAAACGGACGGAGTTTGGAAAGAACGATGGTTGAAAAGAATGGGGAATCAACCTCTAGAATACCCGAATCTTCCAAAGTTCGAATTTGGTTCTGCCTTTGCAAGGAAAACTGCTTTTTCGGGGAGCTGGATCTGAAAGTCTGTATTTTCTGCGTACCTTGGATGTGGGCCAAGAAGAGGTCGGTTCAGAGGTGTTTCTTATAACATGCGGTGCATGTGTCTCAGTTTGCGCAAGTGGCCGTGGATGCCCTCGACATTCCCAGGCTCTTCGTGCTGAACGGTTTCTACGCGCGCATGCGGGAGAAGCGTTTTGGCCTGCAACATTGGCACAAGCGTTTGAACGACCGCCCGAGTGAGTTGTTGAAGAGAATGGTGAAGTTTGGCATGTTGTCATATTGTATCTGCATTCCTCGCAGCTGTTCGGCAAGCAAGTCCCCTAGAGTTTACTCCACGTGCCCACACACGAGGAGCTTGGGCTAGCAACTGCTTACTTATTCAGGTGGTCATTCTTGTTGCAGACAAGACCGGTATCCAATAGAGGCAGGTGACCTCCTGCTCAGTCATCCTCTATTTGGCCTCGGGGCTGAAGGTACTTGCGACCCCGCCGGTTGTCTCGCTTGTACATAAACATACTGATGCACCAGGGTGAACGCAATTCCCTTTATGTGGGCAAGTAAAGGGGATGACTAAGCCAACCTGACGGAATTGTGCCATCCACTTTGCCCAACCGAAAGGTCATAGCCGTTGCCTTGCGTGTTTTTTTTTTTTTGCCATGTTGGGGCATGTTTACAGAGAATTCATGGGTGTACCGCACGTCTCGATCGGATTTTCCCGAGGTTCACGAGCCCCGGCGTCACCGTACATTGGCACGTGGTGGGCTGGCCGCAGTCGCAGCTGCCGGGAAGCCCGGCGGTTTGTTGGCGGCTTGGCGGTGCCCGTTGCTTGTTGTTTGTTGGCCCAGGGTTCCACTTTTTGATTACCTGCAAATAGACTTAAACCCAAAAATGGGTCATGTACCCCAAAAAGGGAACCCCTGCGTTTAAGTCTATGTGCAGGTAGTCAAAAAGTGGAACCCTGCTCCCACCAACTAGGTCCCCCAGATAGGTGCCAACTTTTCGCGTTTCTTTTTTGGTTGGGAGGGTTCCCCTGCTAAAATGAACTACAGGGGAAAGAAACAAAAACAAAAACGGGTACCCTTACTCGAACCTCTCCACTGGAGGACCTAGCCAATTAACTTAGAACCCGACAGGGGGGGTCCTGGAATACAATGTTCCTTATAAAAGGGACCCCCTGTGTTGATTGGTGGGAGGGTCCTGCTTGGTACTTTGCTGTGGTGGTTGGTACTACGTGATTGCAAGCGGGCGATGAAGAAGTGGTTGCGAGTGCGCAAACCCGTGTCATCGCGTTTTTGTGACCACGGATATGAACCTAATAGATACATCAGGGTCGACATGAATGACGTTGGGATTTTCCACCGGGCGCGAAGGTCGAGTCAGAAAATCCCCGAGTAATTGCCCAGCGGCTTCTCCAGGAAGCAGTTCCAAGGCCTCTTTTCATCGTGTCCTAAATTTTAAATCAACCAACAACCGGTGTTCTTTTCCCCTTATCTTACGCTGGTTGCGAGAAACACCACTTCTCGAATTTCCCAGACATTTGAAGACACCCTCAGAAATCCCCACCCACTCATAATTAGCGACATCCCCCTGCCACGCAGCTTGTGACTTAAGAGAATTGACTCAGATGTATTGAATCCCCCGGGTTGACTGGAATCCTCCGAAACCAGGGTTTCTGCACATCCATTGTATGGATTTCTCAATGGATTCCCATTGTATGTATTGAATGGAATCCTTCCACGGATTGGTATTGATGGTGAATGCAATCATCCGAATCCAGGGTTTCTGAACGGTGCGAGCAAAATGGATTTCGAGGGCCCATCCACGGTACCACAAGAATTGGAGCCTTCCACGGGTGCGTTCCTTTCGGATCCGTCCGACGTAGGCCCTGGGCGGACTTCCGCGGCCAAGTCATCGGCTCCACGAACCCCGCGGCGGGGGGTTCGACGGAGCATGGAAGCCAGGGGGTTGACACTGTGGATGGGTCCTCGAAATCCGTTCGCACCACTTTGAAACCATGGTTGAAACCATAAGGTTTGTTGGTATTTACAGGTGAGTCATCATTCCAGGGTTTCTTAGGTGTTGCAGGAGTTCGTCCATCCACAGTATGAAGTTCAGCGTGAAGTCTCAGGGTTGCGTTTGGGTTTAGATCCCAGGGTGCAAAAGATGTAATTCCCAACAGGGACTGGGAGATGTCAGGGTCTGCAAACAAGATGTAGTAACCCAAAAGGGGGAGAACCCAAGAGGGAATTCCTGAAGCCATGGTTCCCGGGAGGGCAGGGGGGCACTCCCCCCCGTTCACATGCCGGGGCGCCAGGATGCGGTGGATGGCTCCTTGCGGGCCAGGAGGGAATTTGTGCGTGCGGGGTGGCGCTTGGTGGCACTTGGAAGACCGTCATGGCGCCCTTTGCATTGTGTTTTCAATGTAGGTGGTTGTATGCGGGTTTGGGTTTGCGTTTTTGTTTGTTGGGCGTGCGCTGGTTTGTTTGCTTGATTGTCTGTTTGTTTGTCTGTGCGTTGCTTTGTTTGGTTTGTTTGTTTGTTTTGTTGTGCTTGGTTTTGTTTGTTTGGTTGGTTGGCCGGTTGTTTGTTTTGTCTGTTTGGCTGTCTCGTTGCTTGTTTGTTTGTTCGTTCGTTTTGTTTGTTGTCATGTTTGGGTCGGCTGCCAAGAGCAAGGTGTTTTGCAGACGTTGCCAGGTAGTTGGAAGTACCTTTTGGCGACGTCTGTGGTGGAAATCAAGACGGACATAGGTTCATGGTGGAAGGAACAACAGCCACGTCTGTGCAACAACCATTGAACATACCCCCTACACTCAATACCCACTTTTTTCAGGGTATGATGTCGGCCCACTACAAAAGGAGGTATTTACCATGCGAAAGCCAGGTTTTCCCAAACATACCCTGAAAAAGTCGGTATTTTGAGTAGGGGGGTACACAACCGTGCCATGTGGGAGTGCGCCAGTGCTGTGGTTGGACGAAATCTGCTCGCACCACGTTGAAACCATGGGACTGTCTGACCCCAAGAGCCCCCCGCCTTTTCTGGGTATGTGAACCCTACCAGCTTGAGGGACACCATTGTTTGTTGGTATTTGCAGGGGGGAATTGAATCATTCCATAGTTTCTTAGGTGGTGCGAGAAGCGGATTTCGAAACCATCCGCAGTAATTAGCAATGTCTTACTCCAAAAGCCCCCCGCCTTTTCAGGGTATGGTTACCATGGACGACCTGGATTTTTCAAGATACGTCGAGATCTCGCATGCATTTGGAGCGACGCTAAAGACGACCGCAGGATCCGTGACAGCTGGGAGAACCTGGGTTTGGAGGCGGAGACCAACTACCAGGCAGGGGCGGAGTTTGCGAAGAGGCAATCCCAACCCAAGTATTCCAGAGGCGTATGTTCCCCGGGTACAAGGGAATGCACGGAGATGATGGGCAATGGGGGCTGGGGTTGAGGACAGCTCAAATTCTGTGGAAGCCAAATGTGGAAGGTACCCAACCTCCCAACTACCAGCAGCATCAGGGTAAGGTGTTGACCATCGAGGAAGGATTTGATACCACAAAGACTTCCCAGTACTTTATTCCACCCTTTTTCTAGGGGTTGATTCCGATTCCATTCTTCTCAACCATCGTTCTTTGCAAAACCCAGCTGTTTCCTTGGGTTTTTGGATGGTTTTCTGAAAAGAAGGATCCCTGCCCAGAGGCTCCTAGCTTCGGCTTTCAATGGAAGACCCAACGCCTCCATTAGACACCCGGACGCGGTTGGGGGTCTCTCAACCAGGTTATTTGAAGGCCCTAAATCAATCAGGAGCCTTTGGATGGAAGAATGGTTGGAAGGCACCCCTACCCTTTTCGGGGTGGTGAAGTTTCGGCCAGGACAACGGAGTGCACGCCTCCGCGGGACCGCTGGAAGCGCTGAGGGAGCGCATGGCCGGGCAGCCATGCTCGATTCGTTAAGTTGGTAGCCTTGGAGTACCCCCTCTCCTGGGGTTTTGGGGATTTGGGGACTTGGGGGTTTGGGGGTTTGGATTATCACCTATACTTACAACCGGCCCAACTCACTCAGAAGTAGGTTATACGCCAGGCGCGATCACCACTTACGAACTTCAGGAGTTTTCGGGGCAGTTCCGACCGGATTTTGACCCAGCGAAAGCGCACCCACCGTGTTGTCAGCACAGGTCAAAGAGAAGGCACCCCATGTCCCTCGCATCCAAGCGTTTGATGTCCCAAGCGTTCATGAGCCGTTCCCTGAGAAAGGCGTTTGTGCAGGAACCACTTCGGTAGGGGAATCCTGGGCCCAGGGGAAGGCCTAGAGAAGTGAAGGGTTGTGGGTGACTTTAAAGCAACATGTTTCGCAGTGCCTGAATCATGTTTGAGATTTGATTTTGCATTTCAGGCTTACTCAATGTTCTTGGACCATCATCAAGCATATTATATATTATATTTGGTTGGGGCGGGGGGGGGGGGAAGATGAGGTAGTGTTGGTCCAATTTCGCACCCAGGTGTGGTTGGGCGATGACATCGAGAGCGACCCTTTTGGCGCAGGGCCTAGGGCAAAAGCTGCGGCTGAGGCTGAAAGGCTGTGCTTCCCTCCATTTGAACCAGCATCCCGCTGTGAGGAACCACTTTGGACGCAGAACAAAGGCACCAAGCCGAAATACCAAGCTCTGGGCTGCCGCGCTCATTGGCCGGTGCTCAACTCCCAGTCCACCACTGCCTTGGGTGAGTCTTTAAACAAGGCACACCAAGAAGGGCCGAACCCATAGATACCTGATACCTGGCATAGGTTTCAGCGTAAGGAAGGCACTTCCACCGGCTGGTTCGCCTGGTCGCCCTTCTGAACTGCTGACCACACAGAAATCTCCTTTGATGTGTTGCCTCTTTTTCCGAAAAAGCTCGCAGACCCGTGTCGCATCACCGGAAATTCGTGGCTAGATCGTGGCCTGCGGGCGAAAAGACCGGCAGCTGAATCAGCGAGGCCGCCTGGTCACCGAGCGCTGCTCGTTGAGCCGGGCGCCTGGCCGTTTGTATTACAAGCTCAGCTGGTCCGAGATGAGCAGCGGGAAGCCCCGATTATGTTCTCCAAACTGGTTGGGTTCCACAAGTTCGTGTCGTTACGGGAAATTTTAGTTAAGTGGTGTCCGCAGGAAGTCTATGGTTCGGTTTGCCTTGCTCTGTGTCGGGGATTTTCCACAAGGACTTGAAATGGTTGAGTTCCTGTGTCGTGTCCTGTGGTGGTTGCGGGGGTGATCGTTTCGAGTCGTGCCGAGTGTCGACTCGCTCGTGTTGTGGTACGCAAAATTAACGGGTCAAGGGGGTGGAATCGAACAGCCGCATCTTCCGGCCAAGCCCTGGTGCAAAACGCGAAATCAACTCAGAGTCGTTTTCTGGTTTTGCGTTTGGGCAACCCTGCCTTATAGGGCCGGAAGCGCAAAATCTAATTGTTTCTGGCTCGATTTTGCATTTGAACAGCCCTGGCCTTCAAAAGTGGCTTGAAGGGAGCCATGCAACCACTATTTCTCACATCCCTCATACAAGTTTCGGGCCTGCAAAAAGGCCATCGGCCTGGACCGGGAAGCAAATCGGGCCAACCCTGGCTTGTACAAGTAGCCTAGGAAAGGCCCATTTGTGGGGCGCGGCCCCGCCCGCACTAGCAACACCGGGAAGTTCGAAATCCTGCCGCGCCGCTGCGGCAGGGGCATCCAAGCCAATTGCTGAGCCCAAGTTGCACCGATTCTGGTTGGTTTTATTTCCCTCCTTCAGGTTTGGGGGCAGAAAGGTTAAAGTGGGGCTTGCCCTAGGCTAGTCTAAAACGATTAGAGTCCAAGTTGTGTTTGCGTGCGTGTCTCGTGCCGGTTCCAACGCTCCCTGACAAAGGCCCCATAAGCAGGCAAGGGTCGGGTTGGAGGTCTGGTTGGAACCCGCTTTCCAACCAGGTTCTGTGTTTCTTTTTTCAGCCGAACAACTTGTTAGAATAATGCTTTAAGCCCATTAAACCATCTCTGGTTGACAAAGCACCGGTTGGCCAACAAATGGGTTTGTCTTTTTTTCGGTGGTACCCCTTAACGAGGTTGGGCCAAAGGAAACCGAAGGGAAACCCGGCATTTTGGGGCCCCTATGTTGAGACATACCCAAATCACCACACGTTCAGTAAAGAACTGATTTTTTTGAGGTGTCAAGGATCTGGTGGAGAACCCAGTCATCCAGTTGGACGGGAAGACGGGCTCGGGCCCAGGGGGTGGTCTGGGGGAAGCCAAACATGGGCTTGGGGGGTGGGGGGGGGTGGGAAGGGGCTTTCCTTGGGCTTACTGTTGAGTTGGCAAAGCATTGAAAGACTACTTGCATTTGGTTTTATAAAACCAAAAACCTTGCTTTATTTCGGCACCCCCAATTTTCCGAGCACTTGGTATGTGCGCAGGTACTAAGGTTTACAAGCCAGTGAAAGATTCATATCCCACCAGGCGTACCACCCGCCATCCAGCCAGTGCATGTAGCTCCAAAAAGGGGAGCCCTGAAAAATCACTTGATGGTTGGAATGCCCTCAAACATGGTTGGTGGATGCAATTTGCTGTCCAGAATCCATCAAATCATGCATTTGTTTGGTCAAAGTTAGCGAAAGGGCGGAAGGGGTTGAAACAATCACCCACGATGAAGGTCGTTTTAGGCTCCGTTTCTCATTTCTGGGTGGTGAACTCATGACGGAATAACCTGCCCCGATTCTGAGGCGTGCCGTCAAGTGTGGCTTAGTGAGGCTGTGAAACGTAGCCTTCAGCAGACAGAACCTAGCCTCCGCTTTTCACTTGATGAACAGGGAAACACCGTTTATCCCCTAGACAACCTTCATGGTACCCTTGAGTTGACGTTCTACATTGATCATCCCTTCTTCCATGCTTTGGAGGCTTTATCATAGATCCCGTTGTCCCTCCCTTGGCCTTCCAAATAGAGCCTGTTTATACCCTTATGACTCATGAGCAAGGGTCTTGGGGGAACAAGGGCGAGGGAACGGAGGGGAAGGACTGGGTTCCCATATGATTATCCGTTGGATCTTTCTCGGTTTGCGCCTGATAGCGTCCCCTACTTACGGAGTGGTACACAGACTCACTTGCAAAAAGCTCGTAATCCGGATTTCAACTGCTTGGTTTCATACAAACCTTTGATTTTGCAAAAATATCTTGCCAAACAGGCCAACCTTGGACCCAGACAGTCGGACCCAGCTGGATATGGACCTAAAAAAAAGGCTGAACGTATGGCTTCACGTCATGAACCCCAATGTCATGAACTCCAGTGTTGTGGATATCAGGCTCCGACTTTCTGGGCCCGAGTCTAATCCCATTTGGGTGTGCTCAAAAATAAACAAGAGTTTGGCCTTTGTTTCCACTTACCAGGGTTTCATTTTGGTGCCGGTTTTTTGAGCCACAGCCATTTGGTCTCCAAATGGGGCCCCCCAATGAACCCGAGGCCCGGCCTTCGATCTGCTGGAAGAGCTCGACTGCAAGGAGACCCTGGAGGCCGTAGCCGCCCAAGCGCCGCGCCCCTTTGGGGGTTCGGACAGAATGATTCCCAGACTCCTTCCGGTTGCGAAAGATAACTTTGCCCCACTGTTTTTTTGTTTTGAAACCACATGGTGTTTTCAATAACACACAGAAGGGCAATAACTACTTGACGTATCTCATGTTTGTGTTTGAGATGCTTCCCCCCTTAAGTAATATAAGGGATCTAGCTCGCTGCATTTATATTGTTTGTTTTGAGTGGACTTGAGCAAATGGAGAAAACTGAACCATTCCTACTCCAGGGAATATTTTCCGCAGCCTCGTGGGCCAAATGTTGGTTTGTGTTTGCCATTTCTGTGAGATTTCGGGGTTCAAATCAAATCGGTCGTTCCCAAAGCTTCCCAAGGAACCAGCAAGCTTGGGGCTGCTAGACATGTGTTTCTCTGCACGGACTGGACTGAAAGAGGCGAAAATTATGGGCTTCCGAATATGTCCAATGGGCCAACTCACAGTCGGGTTCCTTTACGTTTAGGCAGGGTGACACCTGAGGACATATCGACAACCCTGATGCTAGCAGAAGATGTGCTTTCAAAGTACTTGTGCCAACGGTGTACCGTAAGGCATAAACAACAAAAAGGGGGTTGTGGGGCATGGTTGTGGGAAATTGGGTTTTCGGCCCACTTTCTGCGACAATTGCCAAGGGAACTCCCTTGAAAGTGGCACTGTCATAAGGATTGTTCACTTTGGTATCGCCGAAAGGGTTATTTCCCACAACCTTGTTGTGGGGTCATCATGAGATGATGATTGGCTGCGGCTTGCATGATGAACGCCAGGCTCTCGCGTCTGCGAAGCTTTGAGCCGGGCGGGAGCCTGCAGCGACGCAAAGGAGACGTCGCGCGACGCATGCACGCGCGTGTTTTTAAAAAGGAGGGCTTGCGTGTGTGGGATGGCAGCGGTGCAATACTGATGCAATACTGCAAGGCGGGATGAGGGTCCGTCGGTTTGCAATTCGATCATTTTCATAATATATCCTTCCGAGCAGGATTGCCGCCATGTCAATCTGCAGCAGGGTAGGTGTGGATTCAAGCCACTGCAGACGTCTTATCCTCCTCAAACTCCATATGAGCCTTGAAGCGCTAGATCAGAAATCACGTGGGGAGTCTTTTGATACAGGTTTCAAGCGGGAAGCTAGGTTGGGAGCGAGAGGTGTTTTTTGCTGAGGAGTTGCATCTGATTCGTGCCTTCTCACCCCTGACAATCCTGAAGCTCCGAATTCATTGACCAGAACTCGAGGGTAACAAATCGACAGGACTCCCTTTTACTCAGAAAAGGTTTGCTCGGGACCCAATAATCACAGGCCTCTGAAAACATACCAGGTGAGTCATGACCGGCAAGAGTCCAATTGGAGCCATCAGAAAGGGCCTCTTTGGCCCACGGGCCTCTATAGACCAAGACACAAGACTTTGCCCCTTTCAGCCTATGCCATGTGGTTTTGTGCCCACCAAAACCCTATTCTGCTTATTCAGTGGTTTAAACAAGCAACAAGAAAGGGGGGCGAGACGCGTTTTTTCCGTTGCCTCCCGGCTCCTTCAAGAACGGTTTCAAGCGTAAAGAACCAAAAACAAGTTGCTGTGATTTGGTTTAAAAAAAATGAAAAGTAAACGTCATTTTGTGTCAAGGGGGGTCTTATACCCCCCCTTCGAGCTCTTTGCGACGTCCGAGGCGCAGAGAAGCAGGCGGCCGAGAAGCTGCTGTTGTTCCGGGACCTCATCAACGAGACGGCCGGGGGAAACGAGCACGACAGGGGAAGCGAGCAGAGGCAGCTAGTAAATCATAGGCAGCCAAACTAAGATACAGGACAAGACAAAGTAGGACACCAGAATTTGATGGTGTCCCAGTCGTTCGAGTTTTTTTTTGTTAAGGAGCTACATGAAAAGCGATTGGTGGAATTGAAGAATTGAATCCCTACCTAAACTGTGTCCACCAAAGAAGTAGATTGGTTTTCCTCTGAGCCAAGCAGCTCGAAGAAAATCGCACCACATCAGGGGGCGAAAGTAGATGGCTGGCTTTCCCGGCCCGTGAATTCACGCTGTACCTGGGGAAGGAGCTCCTAGGGTCACACAGAAATTTGGAGGGACCTCCACAAAGAGGCCAAAAGGTAAACCATGGCCATGGTTTGGGATGGTTTGTGGGATGCCGTTTAAAGTGACAAAGGCATGTTCGTATCACAAGGATGTCTTTTCACAGGCGTGATCTTGGGTGTTTGACACGAATTGGCGCGAGGAGACCAGAAGGCTCTTCGGTTGTTCGACTCAGTTTCCCAGAGCCCTGATTCTTGTACAGTCCGATGTGTTCGACTTGTAGACACAAACCACCAGAAGGTGCATTTCCTTGCCGAGGGAATCTCCTCCATGATATATACAGGCAGCAAACATGAAGTGCACGGCCCCCCTTCTCAGAAGCAAAGCCGTCTTCCAAGCCGGGTTTGTGAACCAATGTTTGTGGGAAGGTGCAACCGCCGTGGGCCACCGCTCGTTTCGCTGCGCAACGCGTTGCAAACATTGGTTCAAGCTAGGGTTACCCCCCAAAAATGGATTTCGGTGTTCCTCTTGTTGCTCTTTAAAACCACTCCAAGAAGAGTAGTTTCCCTCAAAGGCACAGACATGCACGTGTTGCGTTTGCCTGTGACCTTCCCGTGGCGCAGTGACCTATCAGGTGGGCGATGCCATCTCCATTTTCCTGGCAGTGGAGGCAATTCGGATCATCGGGAGCTGGAAATTCGAAGCCCGCCACGTGAAGCTTCGCTGGGATCTGTGTCGCAATTGCGAATTTTGGTTCAGCAAAGGGCCATGATTTGGGGTTGGGCAAAAGTTGAGGTTTGGGTGGTTAAGAACCATCGGCTTTTCGTCCGAGGCTCATTGGGTTGCCACAGGTGGGGTGATGTCTGAAGGCAGAGGGACCAGCAAAAGCCTTTTGGAGAACGGCGTGGATGTGGTGCCTCCACAGCTTATGAGGGGGCATGCACTGGCAGCGTTACCTTACTTTTCCGAACGCCAACATGGCGTAGGCAGACACACCGACAAAAACACATAGATTAATGTTAACCCCATATGAATCAACCCCGTTTATAGATAAGGGGGTGTTCTCCTCCAAAAGAAATGATTCCCCACGAATTAAAACCAGGGACACCCCCGAATTAATAAACTGGGGTTGATTAATAAGGGTTCAACATTACTGCTCTTGAACTGGTTGCTCCTTTGGTTTCTTTCATGTTGGGTGGCTGCAAACAAAAGACAAGTATGTCGGTCCCGGAGGGAATCTCATTCAGATTCAGGAGCCCCGAAGGGTGTCTGCTTTGGGAAACATCGGTTTTGGGGCATGGACACCTGTACACCCTGTTTGAGGCAGTACACCTTGTAAAAAGGTACCAAAACCTGTTGTGGGGCATTCTCCATGAAACATCCTTATGGGGCACTACACCTTGTAAAAAGGATGAACACCCCCTGTAAATCCCTGAAAGCGATGATGGGGGTTCGATGTTGATCTGCGGGATCAGGGTGAGCCGCTCAGAAAGCCTTGTGGTTTAGGACAGCCAGACATTCCTATACATTTCCCCCCTTGTTGGCTGATTGGAACATCAGGATGTGAGTTCCATGGTTCAGGTGAGTTTTGCTGGTTCAAACATCAACTCTTGGGTTTCCATTTGACGTGAGTTTCCCATGGTTGAGGTGAGCTTTCCGCAGTGCAGGGACCCAGTACAACGACAGCTGGGTGCAACCCCGGAAGCCCACAACTGACATGAATGGCAAAATATGGAACCCCTCGGCACTTGGTAGACAAACAGTCGTCAGATGTCCACCAAAGCTTTGGTGCATTTTGTCAAGGGATGTTAGGACTTTTACTTTTTTGCCAACCAATGGGTTTTCCCCATTACGCCACAAAAAAACAACAGCAACTTCTAGCAGGGGAGCAGAAGCAACCCCTACGTCCGCTTGGAGGCCGTGCTGTACCTCACTGACTCCGACTGCGACACTTGGCGCCGCTCCACCGAAGGGTCCTTCGGGGGCCGGGCCATTTTTTCGCAGAATTCCCAGGACGCCAGGCCCCAACTTTCCGATGGGAAATGGACAAGTCATTTGAGCCACTTGCTCAACACCCGGGGATTGAGAAACGTTAGTAAGGTAAAAATGTCTTATTGACCATGTTATACCGGGTTTTGATTATGACTCATTTGTTTGGCCAGACCCAGTCCAAGACGCAAATATGGGATGATGTTGGATGTGTGTGCCCTGTATTCCGTTAAAAACCGGCGCAGTGGGGCCGAGCATTCGCTCGGGGGGGGGGGGTTGGGCGATGTCCACTTGGTTCGAGGGTTCCCCACTAAAACTATGCAAAAAGGTAGGAGAAGGAGGGAACTGAAGAAATGACGGTTGTCCTGTTGATCCCTTTATGTAGAGCACACACACCCAAATGGGGAACCCCCAACCATTGGGTGCAAGCGGATCCTCCAGCTCAAGATCAATCGCTTTCACCAATGCCAACCTTTGTCAGCTACCAAGCGCCCTGGCGGAGACCCTGCCGGTCCACGCCGTTTGGATTATTTCATTTAGGGTGCGGACACGGAGCGTTTGCGAGCGGTGCTTCAGATGCACCCTGTCTTCGCGTAGCTCTCGCCAAGGTGACATGTACAACGACCTGCCAAACCGGCTAATCAAGGCAGGGCAAAGCAAGTTGCAATCGTACCTGACTGAGATTGCAAGAGTTCATGATGCAGTATCATTGGTGGTACAAGTATTGCATCATACTTATGTACATATTGTATTAGCGTTGGCGATTTTTTTCAGGGAAACCTGTGACACTGTGTGCCTTTGCCCCCGCCATGCCTCCGTTGATGCCGGTGTTTGTGTCCGGCAAGCGAGCGCCACCCAGCATTGCTGAATTTATTACTCATAGCACACTCCTACACTCATTGCCTTATTTGGCTATTAAGTGTACTCCACCACCTCATTCTCATGTCCCATACTATTTGCAATTGAGAAAGGGGTACTCCAACCCTGCTTGGGGTCAACAACATCAAGCCATACCACCCAGGTACTTGTAGTTGTCGGTAGATTAAAGGGTGTCTCGGTCGACTAAGTACTTAGGCCTTTATAGCACGAACTATGACATCGCGGCATTCGTCATCAATTTCTGCATTGCCAAACAGAGGGGGCGTATTCGGGGAAAGACATGAAATATGATTTTGGCAAGGCAGGCAAACTGTTAGTGGCGGTAAGTATGGTTTCAAAGGAAGCATGATACAGAATGACCGTAGAACATATTGCAAATCACGCCAAACAGTCATTAAGACAGCATCAGCGTCGCCATAGCGTCGCCAGCAAGCACAGGGCCCAGGGGAGATCAAGGGGGTTTTGACCAGGATTCCTTGCAACGAAGGGTTACTAATTTGGACAACTTGCAATGGTTTCTGAGGAGAGTCCCTAGGCAGGAAACATGACAAATCCTTGGTGCTGATTCGTTTCCGGGCTTCCGTTCGGCCAGTCGCTCTCCGTGCTCTCGTCCCCCTCTCGTTAGTCAATCAGGGCTACAAACCAACAAGTTTGGCGAAATGCGCAAGCGCCAACATCACCCCCCCTTCTCCTGGGTTCATCAGGTTTATCAGCGGTGTAACATGGGTTTTTTGGACCCCAACATGTGTTTCGCTTTGTTTTTTTCCCTTTAAGACCCACCCAGAAAGTCCACATCCGTGCCCCCGAGCCTCCCCCGGAACCTGTCAGGTGGTTGTGGCGGACCGAGCCGTGTTTGAGACCACTGACGCGGAGCGCATCTGCGTGCAGCCAGAACCTCGTTGCCAGCCGAAAGATCTGCTGATTTATGGGTCCGTGCTTTCTTTAGGGAACCTGCTGTTAGGTGGTGTTTAACGGGCAACCAAGCGGTCCCATTAAAAAAGGGCACTCACACACCGGCGAGTTCTCCGATGTAGGAAGTAACACGAGCTTACTATGATGTGCGTCCTTTGCTTGGTGATTCCCGATTTCAGGTTTGGGCATGATTGTTTGTTTCTTTGTTTGGTTGCTTGTTTGGTTGGTTGTTCTTAGCTTGGCTACTTGCTTGGTCGTTGTTTGTTTGCTTGTTTGTTTGCTTGCTTGCTTGCTTGCTTGCTTGCTTGTTTGTTTGTTTGTTTGTTTGTTTGTTTGTGTGATTGTTTATTTGCTTGCTTGCTTGTTTGCTTGCTTGCTTGTGTGCCTGCCCGTTTGGTGCATTAATTTGTTGCCTGCTGCCTATCGCTTTTGCTTGCTGCCTTTTTAACCATCCCACATATTAGTTCCGCAGAAGAAGCAACCTGGAACGGATTCATGATTTGCCAGAGTTTCGGCCATGCTTCTGGCTGAAAGGAACGCCACGGACAGAGTCTTTGCAGTTGATGCATACGGATCATTGAACATGTTCAATGCACATGCAACGCACTTTACGACCAAATCAAGTCATGATAGTAGGAGAGTCAAGCTCGCCGTTCTCCGCCCCCCATTTGCCCTTCTTCCACAGGCCGAGGGGCCTGCAAGAGGAGATCGACAAGTGCGTCGCCAAGGCAAGTGTCTGGCACTGCCACCGAGGGCTTCCTGATGTTTGCTCTTTTCGGCGGCTTTTGTGTTTAGGGGACCTCCGAAAAAAATGGGAGGTGTCCCTTTGGTTTCTCTTTGAAAGCTCCAACCAAACCCAAATGTCACCTTTGGGCCTGGGGTGACGTTCAAAGGGGCGTTGGGCGACAAGGGAAGATGGCACCCTCCTTGTTCGTCCATCCCTTGGAAGGGCCTTCCCCATTCTCAGGGATTACTTGGATGTTCGGCCAAGTAAGTAATTGGTTATCCCCAAAAAACCCCTCGTGACAAGGTTAAGCCCACTTAGGGGGACTTATGAGTTATAGCCTAGGTTACCCACAACTTACCAACTTGCCCCGAGCACCCAAGTAGAAAACTGCGGGATGTCCCCTATGAATGTTGCAATTAGTCGGGAACATACCATGGATAGACGAAATCCATTTCGCGCCACCTGAGAAACCCTGGATTGATGATTCCCCAAGGTAAATACCAAGCAAACGTCATGTTTTTTCATGGATTCAAAGTGGTGCGGGAGTTGTTGGTAGGTTATAACTCACTTATAAGTCCCCCGAAGTGGGTTAAACCTTGTCAGGAGTTATACCCCAAATGGCTAACCACGTACTAACTTGGTCGAACATCCAAGTAGGGAACATAGGAATGACCCCGACGGGGTGCTCCGCCAGGTGCCGAAGGGCCGTGCCTTTGTGCGTGGGAGGGCCCAGGAAGACAACTTGGTCCCTTCGGATGCCAGAGGGATGGCTCGTCTTTTGGTCGAGAGACCCCTTGTTTGGTGGTTGGACAACCAAAAGGAAAACCCGCAAATGGTGTGGTCCCCCAAAGAAAGACGCTGTGATGGCGTGTGTAATTTGTTTGGGGAGCTTGTTTTGGCCGGTCAAAGGTTAGCCCCAGCTTCTGAAACCAGCAAAAAAGGGTGGAGTAGCCCTCTCGGCCACTGAGCCTTCAAGGCATGGTGTTTTTGATCGCTAGACGGGTTCAATCGGGGCTTCGTGTCCTATTTACCAGTTCGATGTTTACCAGGGAGATCAACAGGTTGTAATGTTCGCTCGATTTACCTAGGGAAGCCCATCGTCTTTCTCAAACCAAGCCGCCTATGATTGACTCGGGGCAATTAAATGCTCGCTTAGTGTTGGTCCTCTGCTGGGGATGAGACAGCGCCCACAAGTGGCCTGCACTTGTGGTCCCCTGCAAACACCCAAAACCCACCTTTAAAAGAAGCGACACAAAGCAAAACGGGGGACCAAAAAGAGAGACACCCTTTCAGAATGTCAGAACTCGACAGTTGTTTGGTGCTTCGGCTTCCCGCTGCCTTATCTTCCTTGGTGGTTGTGGGTGTCGTGTGCGAAGCACGGCCAGTGTTGGACCCGGGACTCAGGCCCCAGCGGCACGGAGGACGTCGTGCGGGCGCGGCGTGTACCCTTTCAGGGTTGGTTCGAGGAAATCAACGGGAACCGACCCATTTGGGGGGTACCGAACCCAAGGGAGGTCTGATCCCAGTAGATGCCAAGAAACACCCATGGTGGTGGGGTCCCATGATGTTCCATTGAAACCTACAGTGTACCTAGGGTCTAGATGCCTTCGACCCTCGGTTGGCTGGTGCTTTTTGGGTCAAAGTCAGGTGACTGAGCAGATAGTTGGCTTCATGCTCGTTCCCTCTGGGCCTTTGCATGGGAAGGGTTGTTTGAAGGGAAACCAGGCGCCCCATCATGTGGACAGGTCCAAATCCCACGACTCTAGGATGCACCCCCCCCCCCAGCAAGCAAAGAACCCCGTTGGGAATGCAACTCAGGAAAACAATTGTATGTTGTCGTTTGCTGATATTGCCACCCTTCTCTGTTGGGTGATTTCCCAAAGGGTTCATTACGAAGTTGCTTAGTTGTTTACCACCAAACTGCCACTAGTATGACTGGTTTAACCATCCCCCGCCTTAAAGATGGAATTGCGGGAGGGGTGACCCCTGGAATTCCATTTCTGGCAACCCATTTTCCCTTTATGGGGACGGGATAAACGGAATTGAGCCCCGGAGCCCCGCACTTTTCGCCTACTTACGGAAGGGGGGGATGTGTGCCTTCCCCAAAAAAGCTGGACCTTGGCTGATTTTCCATTTGAAACCAAGAGCAAAATCAAGAAGGGCCCTTCTTTTGCGGATGCTTGGAAGACAAATGGATCATGGTTTCCCTTTGAAGGGTAAGGCCTGGCGAAGCCCCTGGTGACTCATGTCGACTCAGCTCGATTTGGCTATTTTGGCCGGCCTTTTTCGGCCAGGTGTATGCTGAGGCGGAGACGGTGGATGACATGCTGAAGCTCACCCAGGCTCCGAACGTTTTTGTACTTTTTTTGAGATAGTACTTGGTTGTTGTTGTTGTTTGTGGTTTTTAACGGGATAAAAGGGGACACCAAAAGGAACACCCACATGTTTAGTGGTTTTTTTTGGTAAAACAAGTCCAATAAATGACGCGCCTTAATGGGCGTCCCCTTAATGGACAGGGTCCTCGGAATCCACCAAAATGGTCCAGAAGACGAAAGCCAAAACCCCCCGACCATTGCCTATCTGAAGGAAATTGGGAGATTGGTCTTCCTGTTAGTGGAAGGACCATTCTGCGTTGTTTTTGTTGACCCCAAGGGAGAACCGCTGCGCCATTTTGGGGGTCGAAACACAGACGAGCTACCCAAACTTCGGTGCTTTCCTCGTGGCTTTTCCCCCAAAACGATATCCTCAACAGACAAAGATATTTGAACATCACCGGCCTCTTTTGGTTGGCCTTTAAAAGGAAATCGAAAGGGAACCAACACGTCTTCCTCGCCATTTTGTTGAAGCCAAAACTAAAACTGACCATGAACTCGGCCTAGCCTACCAAACGAACACATTTGAGGGTACTCAAACGGAACTCCTTCACCCCCTCTGAATCAGTGCAAACAGAGGCCAACCACGTGTTGGTGCTGTCTTTCTTTTTTTTCTGGAGGTTGCATTCCCTCAAAAATGCTTGCCTAATCTCCCCCCCCATTTCTCCTTTTGTTCGGCGGACCTCCAACTTGGCTTCGGTGGTCCTTTTGGTTTCCCTTTCAAAGCCGACCCAAAGGGTCTTCCCCAAAAAAACGATACACCAGCCCTAGCTTCCCCTATGGCGCAAGGGTTTTCCTCTTGGTTCCCCTTAGGCCAGGCCCCTGAATGTTGTCAACCCAAGCGGGGAGGGAGGGGGGGAGGGAGCCCAAAAATTAGCCCGTATTAAGCCCCTAAAAAGGCCTTATTTGGGGGCTTATTGGGGCTCCCTCCCTCCTCCCTCCCCCTCAGCCCCCATCATAAATAGCCACCCCCCGTCACCCCCTCACTCCCTCACTCCCTTACGCCCCCTTACGCCCCCTTACCCCCTCACCCCGCTTTCCAGCCGCCCCTTGCTACACGCCTCAGGAGGTGGTGGACTTGGCCTTTGACCTGGGCGGCGGCGCCGGGGCCTTGGATCGATCCATGCAGCTAGCGGTGGCCGTTTTGGGCGGAGGAAGGGACCTGAAGACGAAGCACTGGCTACAGGCCATTGGAAGTTCACCTCTACACCTCCTGGCGGTTTGGTGACGCATGGCCGTTTTTCCCCCCCATGAAGGGTTCTAGAGTAAGTTCCATCCAAGCGAGCGTCTCCCGTTCTTGTCTCGCGTTTGGAGCAGCTCGGGCACAGCCCACCCATCTGGCGACTCGTGACAGATCGCCCCTGGAAGGCGTGCAGATCGAGCAAACGTCCGACTAAAACATCTTCGGCGCGTGGGAGTGCGTGTCTGTGGAACATGATCCTCGAACATTGACGACGTGCTGCCACACTTCTGCGCAACACCGAGATAGCACGCTAGGCGGTCTGGTATCTGGGAATGTCGGCGCAGACATTGACGACATGCTTGAACACCTTCTGCGCAACACTGAATGCACAACAGTCTAAAGGTAGTCTGGCATCTTGGAATGTGCGTGCGCGTGTGGAGCGTGAGATTCATGCACGTGGTGCATGATTCCACATGATCCTATGATCTAAAGAGCGATCAGTCTCCTCATCACTCAGTGGTTCCCAGCCATCCCCTTAGCTTTTTAGTGTTTAGTGGGAATTTCCATTTAACCTGCTAAAAATTAAGCTTGTAGCCCGGGATCTGAGGGCAGCCCAGATCAGGAAGCATGCCTAGACTGATTGGAGCCGTTACAACGGCTGCTTTGCTCTCCAAGGGCTTGATGATCATCCATACCAACTCCAAGTGGATGGGTGTAGCCGTGATCAAAGCAAGAGCAGATGAAGGTTAGTAGGGAACAATCCCAGCCAGAAGTCAAACGAGCCTTTTTCTTTGCTTTGTTGCCATGGATTTGGACACATCCCTTTTCGCGCCGAGTTTCTAACTCACATGCGGCTGACAGACAAGCAAAAAAAAGAAGCGTTTCCCCCCAAAAATCTCAGTTCTTCCGCTGTCGCGCAATGTAAAGATCCCTTTTGGGTCAGTTCTTCAATGTTTTTTTCCACAGAGTATCTTTTGGGGTGCTGCTTGCTGCACAACAGTTTCGCAGCCCTGATCCATCAAGCAGCGGTCGCCAAATTGCAAGGATCAAAGGAACCACAACTGGCGTATCCATTCGCAGTGGAGCAGCGGAAAGAAGAGGAGCCCCCCCTCAAAAACAACACAAAAAACAACCTTTGTAACCATCTAAGCCTCCTGTCCGGCATGGGTTATGCCACCCGAGGGTCCCTTTCAAAGGAAATCGCCTGCTGTCGGGTTTTGGGCGCATCAGGTGGGCTCGAGGCCGAAGGTGAGCTGATTCTGTAGCAGAATCGGCTGGTTCGGCGGGTTTTCCGAGGCGAGTGCCAGAGCAGTGAGGTGACAGGGTGTGGTTCCAACAGACTAGGGCCCTTGTTTCCTTTTTTGGGGGAGGGTTCCCCTACTAAAATAGACTACAGAAAAAAGGGCACCCTTATTCTAACCTCTCTACTGGAGGACCTAGCACAACAAGCGTCCTCTTGTGTTTCATCTCATGTTTTCAATTTGAGGTCGCAGCACAGGCAGGGAGAAACCCAGTCTAGAATAGAAATTGAATCTTGTTGAGGTTTCCGGGCTGCATTTGCAGCTATTGTTCCCGGGTTGCATTTGCAGCCCTTGAGGGCGAAACCAGTTCGAGTCAGCGCACTTGTGGAGTCCCCATACTACCAGTGGGCTCTTCCTGACTAAAAGATGTCGAACGGCTTTTTGCCCCTTAATTTTGGGTAATGACCAACCATGTTTGAAGGGTCATGGAGACTCCAGGTAGAAAGGACTTGACAATTACTCCCCTGCGGTCTTCACATGGAACTCAGTTCAACCACGCCCTGCGCTGGCTCTTTTTGTTGTCCGAAGGCTCCTTCGGTGTTTGCCTCTGACTATATTAGATTCCAATCGGACCGTTTTGCCAACGACGCCGGCATCGATTCAATGCGCAATGTCGACAAAGGTCCTTAGCTGCCCACGCATTGGCCAGCTTCAGGTTCAGGTTCAAGAAGGTCCAGCTGATTGACCGGAGGTTTTTCTGTTGGACTTGCTATGCTGACAGTGCTCTTTGAGGACAACTTGGTTGTGGAGATTCCACAAAGAGTTCCCTTTTTCTACCAGGCCGCTGGGCAACAGCACCTCAGCTACGAAGGATGATCCCATCGACGGATTGTTCACTGCTCATACATGATACGTTTGCTTCTGTTGGATTCCGCTCAATGTTTCCGGATGCTGCAAAGAGCCTAAATGTTTACTGCTGCATACATGGGGTTGGGAGAGCGTGTGCGGTGTTGTGCCCCGACTTGAGCGATGTTGCGCACTAAGCCGTGATCATGGTTCGATGCTCTATTGTTCTGATGTTGCACTTTGCTGTTCAATTAGCAAGGCCATCTCAAAACAAGGTTTGCTGGTCAATATGTGAAAGCCAGTAGAATTTGTGCCTTTACCTTGATCCTTGGGTGTTCCCTACCAAAACAGGGGCGCTCCTTTGTTCCCGCGGAATTTCACAACATGTTTGTGACAAAAGACAGTCGCACTCTGTCCCCGCTCCTGCCACTTTGGGCCTTGAGCCAATGTACAAGCCCCGCCCTTTTCATGGCCGGTCCCTCCTTTCAAAGATATTTTTTTAAAAAATGAACAAACCAACCCAAAAAAAAACGGCGAAACGGTATAGCTTAGGTTTCGACACCGGGTGCGCTTGGGGGTTATTCTTATACCGTTGCCACCATTCTTATACCGTTGCCACCCCCACGTGTTTCTCCTCACTTGCCCAAAGCCGACCTTTTAACCTTTTGGTTTCCCTACTTTGGTCTATGTTGAGTGAAGGTTCCGAAAGGTTCACCATTCATTTCCGCGTCCTCTGGGCAAGTGAGTCTCACTCGCCATGCCCACGGTGTGCCGTCGCCGTTTGCTTTTTGGCTCAGTTGGCACTGGCCAAGGCGACCAGGCGGGGATTGGTTGCACTGCGCATGCCATGGTCAATTGTTTGTTGAAGGTGTTTGTGTGTGTGTGTGTGTGTGTGTGTGTGTGTGTGTGTGTGTGTGTGTGTGTGTGTGTGTGTGTGTGTGTGTGTGTGTGTGTGTTTGTGTTTGTGTCTGTGTGTCTGTGTGTCTGTGTGTTTGTGTGTCTGTGTGTCTGTGTGTGTGTGTGTGCGTGTCCGTGTCGTGTGCGTGTGCGTGTGCGTGTGCGTGTGCGTGTCCTGTTTTCCTGTTCCACCTTTGGTTGGCTATTTTTCCTGGGGGGGGTTCTTGCGAATCAACCAACAAACGGGCGCCAGTCATTGTTCCCCATGGCGTTTTTGTTTGGAGAAACAAGCGGTTCAAACAGATATACTGCAGCGCGTAAGTGTTCAACGCATATGTGCCTTCACTAGTTTTGGCTCGCTCACCTAGTCCCCGGATACAGGTCTTTCATGGATCTCTGAATTCAGGTTGCTGAAGCATTTTTTCAAGTACAGAGACGCTGGATGCCACACATATTGTAAACCACCCACACTCAAGCACAAAGTCATGGCAAATTGCCGTACATTCGGGGGTTCCCTTGTTCCACTACTTGCAATATGACAGCGGCATCCACCGTATCAAGGGCGTACGGCTTTTCATGGCCATTGGTCCTTTTCGTGGGAGTGGTTTGTTGAGTCCGGGGCTCGAAGGTCCGAACTTATCTCCAGGATGGCCGAATGCGTTTCGGTCAAGTGGACGCCGCAGTTGACAGCAGCCCTCTCGAAAAGGGCGGGGAAATCCGAAGGGAAAGCACCGAGTTTGGGCGCAGGTCGCGCCCTGTTCCACTCCTCGCCGGGATGGACGAGGATGGAGAGGCTCGCGCAGAGCAATTCAAGTCTTGGTGGTTCCCAGCCATCCGTTTCCTTGGCTTTTTAGCCTTTTAGTGTATAGTGGTAGTCTCCATTTAACCTGAAAGTTACACTTTTCGCAGGGGATCGGAAAACGGGCAGCCCAGAAGTCAAAGTTGTTTGGACCTGACAAGTGGATGGCTGCCCTGAACAAAGCTCATTGACACGGCTGTTGTGATTCTTCTCTTTTCATGGCTCGATGTCTTTTTTTTGTGGCCCTCTCCCATATTTATTCGCATTTGAGAGATGTGCATTTGGTTGGCCACCATGTTTGAGGTGCAGTATTTTCTTTGAGCACATCTGCTTGTAGTTATTCGCCGCGTGTTGCGGTCATAAGCAAGATTGTTTGGACTCAAGTTGTTTCTTGCTGTAGCCTTCCATCTCCAAGTGTACAGTTTATAGTTATAGAACATGGACAAGACAGCGAGAACATAGATCATGACCAGTTTTTGGAAGAGACGCTTTCCACGAAGCGTCCGTCGCGGAACTAGCATCCCACTCGGCGCGCGCAGGCCAGAGATGATGGCGGAGACTACGTCAAGGCGATGTTCGGGGCGAGGGGCCTGGGAAAAGCCATGGAGCGGATATCCCGCAAATGAAGAGCGCAATGGGTGTGCCCATAGGTGTCCTTTTTGGTTGGTTTGGTTCAAAATAGAGGGCCCTGGTCTTTCTGATGGTTCAATCAACTAATTATCAGGGCCATCTATTTTGCCAAAAAGGGCACCTATGGGTGTGCCTTTTCTTGGGGAACCGCAATTGAAATCCAACCAAAAGGGGCGCTCCCTTACAAGAAGACACACCCGTATAGCATCCTGGTGCTGGAACATGGGGTTTGTGATACCGAGGAAACTTCCTTAGTGATGCAAAGTTGTGGGGATGACTTTGGTATCGCAGTTCATTTTTTACAACCATGCTTAACACGGTCGGTTTCTGGTCAGTTCCCCTTTTGAGGAGCCGTCTAGACAGGGGCTTCAAAGGTCGTTTCCCTGAAATGTGTGTGATATTCCAAGATACCTAATATTTTTTTGTTAACAAACAAGTGGTTTTTCCAAGGTACCCAAACATTGTTTTTTCTCACAAATCCAATGGGGCCAGGCTCCAACCTGTTTAATGCCCCGGCGGGTTTGGTTCTGTTGAGCTTTTCTCTCCCGTGCCAGGTAGAGCCTTCCGAGGGCCGCCCCCTCACCGGCGAGGCTATTTTTTTGTTTTGGCCGGGGGAGGGGGGGGGGAGGGAAGGTGAGACGATATGGGTGTGGGTCAAAAATAGGTACCGGAAGCAGAATCCTGGTAAATGGAAAGAAACAAGGGCTGAAACCTGGCGCCCCCTCATGGTTCAATTTTGACCCACACCCATATTTTGTGTTTTTCTTCGGAGGAGCGCAGGTTTGAGGCCAATCCATTTGGAGTCGGTTCCATTTTGGTCCCCTTGGCGGACCCAATTTTACTCTGTCTTTTGGACTCATTGCTTGCTCTTAAGGGAAGCCAACCTGGAGGAGACAAAGCCAATTTCATGTCTGACATTGCCCTCGTGGCGAGACTTGGAACGTGTGTGTGTGTGTGTGTGTGTGTGTGTGGGTGTGGGTGTGTTTCTTGGGACATCAAAAAAAAGCCACCGGGGGTAAGCTTGAGGGTTGCAGGGTCGGATCTGTCACATCCACCCAGGTTCCAGGTTTGCCACGTCAGATTTGTTCGAAGAAAGGCTGTGGACAACTGGGCTTGGGTCTCGAATCAGTTTCTTGACGAGTACCATGGCAAAGGAAAACCGACTGAGCACCAGCAAGCTTTCTGTGATACCCTTCAAATCCGGGGCAATGACTCTGGTTGTCGGGAGCTTAGGTTACACTTCCACCCTGCTGCTCAGATTCAATTCCAAAGGACGAGGGGAATGGGTATTTCCTTTGAATGCCAAGGTTTGGTTGTGACTCAGGTTTCTTAGCATCAAACAGACTGGATGAGTGTGGGGATTTCTTATGTACCTCTTGTTACTGCGAGTTATTTTGTGCGGTCTGGAGGATGCACGCAAACAGCCCCCGAGAAATTCGACGCTCTGAAACACCCCATGTATCGTCATGAATATCCAGCGGTGTACGTGTGTGTATAGTATAGTATCCAATTCCGTTGGGTGCTTCACTTTTTTTTTTGAAATTTTGGCCCTAATTTTGAGGCAAGGCAGGGCAAGGCCGTGTTACTTCTTGTAAAGAGGGGGCCAGCAAAACATGCACACCGGTGGCGAGTGCCCAGAAAGGGCCCTGGGGACCGTGATCTGGAAAGTTCAGGGGAATGAGTACAGTACAACATCAAATTCGGAGCGTGGCATTGCAAGTCCATTGAAGCCTTTTGAAGATATGCAAACCCTTCCAGTGTCCTTGACTAGGTCCCCCAGTAGTGCCCTTTTACCCTTTTTTTGGGGAGGGTTCCCCTACTCAAATAGACTACAGGGTACCTTACTCTAACCTCTCTACTGGAGGACCCAGTCAAAGTGAACCTCCATTCAGGTGTTCCGGTAGATGCCGACCTTGAAGCCTGCGTCGGGTGCCACGAAGCATTGTGGCTGGGCAGGCAGCAGGTGCCTCTCGCTTTTGTCTCGGCAGGCCTCGGGTTCCTCAGAGAACCTCCGGCTGGTGGGCAAGAATGGGGAGGCCTGACAGTAGAGTCGGTGTGTGCGTGTGTGTGCGTGTTTCTTTGAAATTTCCCGGATTTATGGATCACCGAACCACTGGCTGCATTGGGCCAGACCACGTCACCCACTGGAGCAAAGCTGAAGGGGGGTTCCTCGAATCAGGCAAGAAGCCATGTACACCAGTGGCCTTCCTTGGCTCTCATTTAGGACGTTTTTCTGATCATCTCTGCGTACATGTTCGCCCTCTGTGGGACACGCGTTCAGCTTTGTTGGATTCACATGACTTGCGGTCGTATTTTCAGACAAGAGCTTCGCAGAAGGGACGCAGCAGAGGGGTGAAGAAGGTACAGATGTGCCGAAAGACCGAAACAACTCCGCTGGGATAAGTGTGTAGTCCAGGCGCTAGAATCGTTTTTTGGGGTAGGACCTTTACTTGGTGGTTGTACTGTTAGTTTTCCTGTCGAATGTTCAACTTGTTATTTCCCTCGTGCTGCTTGTTTCCATCTTGCTGTGTGTTTTCATATTGTTTCCCACTGTTGCAAGTTGCTCGGTTCGTTGTTTGGTTGTTTGGTTGCTTGTGTGTGTGGGTGTGGTTGCGTGGTGCTTTGTGTGTGGCTGATTGATTATGTTTCTTGTGTGTTTGGTTGCTTGGTTCTGTGCGTGTTTGGTTGGATGGTTTGTTTGGTTCTTTGCGTGCATGTCATTTGTTTGTTTGGTTCTTTGCGTGCATGTCATTTGCTTGTTTGGTTCTTTGCGTGCATGTTGTTTGGTGGTTTGCCTGTTTTCGTCTTGTTGGTTGTTTTCATGTTGTTTCCCCATGTTGTAAGTTGTTTGATTCTCTGTTTGGTTCGATTCTTCAGGGGAAGTCCTCCATCAAGCTGCTGGCGCCGCTGAGTCTGGTGCCGCAGGCCTGCGAACGCTCGCGCAAAAACATCGCCGGGAACTGGGAAGAGGAAGAAACCCCTGGGAAACTTCTGGGAAACCCGTGGGAGTTGGCCAGTTTTTGTTGGTGTGGTTCTTTTTGGTTGTTGTTTTTTTGGAGTTGGTGGTTTTTGGTGTGAATTGTTTGGTGGTTCTTTTCTGAGTTGGTGGTTGTTTTGTGGTTTGGTCCCTTGTCCTACCGATTAATGAATGACTGCTCCCGTAAATGGTAATCGTTCCCTCTTGGAGGCATGCCACACCGGTTCCTAACCACCCTGATCTGTTTTTTGGGTTTAGAATCCCTCCGCCCGCGAATGTGGGTGGGTTATATTGTGGTATTGTGCTTCTTTTAACGTCCATTTTGCCACCTTCACCACAAGCCGTTTGTTTTTGCTCTTGTCCCTTCAAGAGCAACGTGTGTTTGGCTCTCAAATCAAGACACCCCTCATTTCAGAAAGGACCCCGGTTTTCCTTTGGATTCCCCGCAAACCTGGGCAAGTGTGGTCCTTTGACATCCTTGAGGACAGCAAGGTCCCTTGTGGTTTCGAGGGTATCCTCCAACGAGACTTGCCAGAATTCATGAACCCCTCGACTAGGGGTTCAACCAATTTAGATGGACCTTGCTGAATCAAGTGTGAGTGTCTTTTGTTGAGGGTACCCTCGTTTGTGGGTTTAAAGGAAACATGGAAGGCCTCATAACAAAAGACACACCCATATTATGTTGTCCCCCGAAAGAAGGCCATGATTCCTCTTGGAGGTATGCCAAGCTTGTCCCAGGCTTGGCCAAAGCGTCTAGTTCAGCAGGGCTCCTTAAAAGATACATGTTGCAACCAGTTGAAACATGGCTTTTTCCACCAAAATGAAGGACACCCCATTTGCAAGGCAATGTTCAGGTGTATAATGTTTGGACCCCTGTTCAGGAAGCCTCACTTTCTGTGATCTTGATGAAATTATGTTGAGTCCTACGTGATATGTTGGTCATGGGGATGGGCCGCTTTGACATCACAAAACATTAGTCTATGATCAGAACCCCCAAGAGCAGTCTGCAGCGCTCTATTGATGATTGTGTTGAACCACTGCTCGCCTAGGGCCTGTCAAAGGACATCATACTACATGTTGTGTTAGGTTCTCTAATTTTCAGTATGCATCAATTAGCGGGCACCCAGAATGCGGGTTTGCGTTTGCTCTCCTTTGAGCTCAACCTGAAAAGCGTACCCTGTACCCTGTCAACAAGAAACACATGTCCCCAAGTACCGTTGCCAGAGGCTAAACATGACATGTTTGAGTGAAGAAAGGCTGAGGCCATCCCCCGGTTGGATTCTGTTGGTGGGTGATCTCTTGATGCCTGGTGGATTCAGACAATCTTGAACGACCTGAGCAGCCGTATGTTGCTTTTATCCTAAGAAACCTCTACAGCCCCCCCCCCCCAACAACTTCCTTTTGGACAGCGCCTGGAACTTTGAACATGGACACAAAAGCCCAGTCGTGGTGCCGGCAAAGAGCAGCCAATGTCAGCGAAGCTCTATACTATAGACTTGCCGGTTCCCGTTTGGTTTCACACGCCTCCTTCAGGTGGTCCTGGACAGCAGCCTGAAGAGACTAGGCGCGAGCAGAGATCGGATCCAAGGTCGCTCAAAGTGACAAAGTCTTCCCAGTTCAACCACAAACTTGCATAGTGTTTTTGTTTGAAGAAACCAAATCAAACCCGATTTAAGCTTCTTCTTTTTTAGATAACAACCCACCGATAGATTGCGGGGAGTCCTCGTTTCCTATGCATCCCTGTGCAATATATGTGGCGAATCAACCGAGGCATGCAACCAGAATGCAACAGGGGCCCCTCTGCCTGAACATTGGCTTTGGGTCTCCCACTAGTTACACATGGGAGACGACTTAAATATGGGCAAAGGTTCGTAATGCTTCCACTTGTGGAATGTGTGTGTGTTTCAAAACAATCAAGCCTTCAACTTATAGCCCAAAACAAACCAACAGCCAACCATCCTGTTTCCTCCTTGCTGGGGGAGACTTTGCGGGCGGTGACCAGGTGTACACGTGTTGGCTTGGTAAGGAGAGGGAAGGGAAGCCACTCTTGAGCCCAGAAAGATCTTGCGGAGACTATGGGACTTTTCATGGAACCTCCGAAAGGTAGAAGTTCGCTCATGGTGACAGACCCACTCACGCACGAGGTTTGAGGTTCCAATGAGCCCTAAGATGTTCGAAGTTTGGAGTTGTGACCTTCCTGCGTGATAACTTTTTGCAGAAGCACAGTTCACCCTGGTTAAAGGGGTCCAACCACCAGGACATGTCAGAATTCTGCTCTGGTTCCAGAAACCACCATTAAACAAGTAGTTGGGTCAATATAGCTACTGTTTAGGATTGTCATTATGAAAATGGGTGAACCATTCTTTCTGGGGCGGCAAGGGACCCTAGGTTTCCACGTTACATAAGAGTCGTATGAGTGATGTTGGGATTTGCTCCAGAGGGAGGTACCTCTACCTCTAAAGAAGCTTGCATGATATTGGATGGTCGCACCGGCCTCAAGGGATGACTTCTTACCATGCATTTTTGTTTGTGGCCATAAGATTGTGATTCACGGCTTCGCAATGCATATATGTGACCCGCTCGAGCTCCTCTTCTTTGTGCTTGCGAGTCGTTTTCTTCCCAAACGCTCAGCTCACTTCGCCGAAGGCGAGGTTGAGCCAGGAACTCTCAGTATGATGCTGGGTTCCCAATTCAGAGGGCTGGTTGGGTTTGCGGATTTGAACCCCGGGTTCTTGTGTGTAAATGGGAAACCACCCTGCCACACCAGCTCCAAGCCACCCTTTTCGAGGAAACCGCTTCGCATCGTTTCGCAGGCTACCAGGTCGTCGAGAAGACGTTTCGAGTTTGGGCGCCCGGATTGGCCCCGGCCATGCCGATTGATTGGGGCAAATTGGAACGAGCTCAGCTGCCCGAGAAGTCAGGTGTTTTAGATTGTTTTGGGGTTTCGGGGTACACGAGCCTTGGATCCCTTGATTCTTGTTGGCAATGATTCTGAATTGGCAGATCCAGCAAGCCCGCATCTGCAGATGTCCGATATGCTCCAGCAAGTGATGCGTCCCATTCTCCGAAGAGCAAGCCTGGAATCCGGGCATATTTTTGTTTCCGGGGGGTGTCAGGGGAGTCGTGCTATAGGAAATACCACACCTCAGCCAACTCTTTGGTATCTACCTAGAGTCTCCATGACCCCTTAATTTTGGGTAATTACACCATTTTTAAAGGGTCATGGAGACTCGGTGGATTGTGGCGACCTGGAGTGAGGTTCTGCCTTTCCTCACCATCTACGGGGGCACCGCGGCTCTCATCACTTGCGTGGCCTTGAGATATCGCTTGGCCCTCAGAGGATTGCTGGGGGGGGGGGGGAAATTCAGCGGAAAGGGGGGCAAGTGGATGCGGGGTTTCAGGGACGGTCATTGATTTCAATCTATTTCACCTTTGAGATGGTTTAAACGACATTTGATGGTGTCAGTTTAAGTAGGCTGAAGAAAACGGGCGACATGAGCCACAATCAAAACCTGGGTAGGTGAAGGTTAGTAAGGAGACGATCCTAAGCATAAATAGGTGCTGCCGCCCTTTAAATTATATATGTTCATTGGTTTGGGTAAAACTATTTGAATGCCAGGTTTTGACGACTCGCATGTTGGTTTCTACTCAAGGTGATTAATTGCTTTGGTTTTCTGGCCTGAAAACTCGTCTCTGCGAGATTCGGAGGCCCAAGGGCGAACTGAACCCAAGCTGCACTGCCAGCCAGGAACTTCAGCACCTTTTGATCGGTTTGGACTCCGGCTTGAAATAGCTTTACTGGTTTAGATTGTTTTGCCGGCGGCCTTTTGGCTTCAACGTTCTCCCGGCCTGGAGAACGGCGCTGTCGCCGTTTTTGCGCTGGGGCAATTCGAGGTGCATTTCAGACAGTGTTTCATGAAGATCTTTTCTGGGGCAGAGTTTTCTTTGAGTTCCACCGACCAAACAAGGGTGTCATACTTGTTCTGTATATTTCTTGGGCGATATCCCTCGTTTTGGAATACGTTCCTCCACAAACCACTGGGCAGCGACCTCAATGGACTTTTTGACTGGCACACCTAGTTGTATACCTCATATGGGCGGGTTTTGGAGGGAACCCAGCAAGAAAACCGTTCATTCGAGAGCTGTCCCTTCATGTTGAGCCGTCAAATGCCTGCCTGAAGCGGAGTCATATTTTTCCTGGGGCTCGAACCGCGAGCCGGATCTCGATCCTGGATGAATTTCTTAGCCGGGTGCGACCTTGGGCTTCTTTTGGAACAATATTTCCATGAGAGAAAGAGGATGGTCGAGGTGGATGTTCTTTATTTTTTGTGCCAACGTATGATGATTCCAATTTGGCTGAAGCGTGGCCCTCCCCCATTAATTCTTCAGGGCCATTTTAGGTTTCTGTTTGGTGAGAATCCCAGAAGATTTGAATCACCCGAATTCTGAGCACTTCTTCCGCCGGGTGTGCTCCAGAGGGCTTGTCAAGGTCCTTTTTGTAGGGAATCAAGGGGTTAGTTACCGTTCACTGGGTGCCACGCAACTCTTTTTGCCAATTTGAGCGGAGCATTTTGCCCACTGCATTTGGAATTTATCATGTGTCACATGGCAGGCCACTCTCCTACACTGGAAGGGAAGCAACCCCGAAAAGCGTGGAGAACTGCAAACGTGCACCTGCGTGTGTTTTCACGTGGTCCCCGCCTTTCTTCTCACTTCCTGAGTTCATGAACTTTAAACTTTTTGGGAAGACCATTTTAGTGGGAAATATAAAGTTTGAACTGTTTTGGGGCCATCCACTCAGTCAAGACTCGTTGGGAAGCTGGATTTCGCTGACACCCCGCCCATTTGGAGCAGCGATATTCCCATTTCCATGGGGACGTCCGACGCCCGAAGCCTTCGAGGCTGGGGCGTGCTGATGTCGATGATGCTGTACTCCTGCTTCATGTCACTTACCTGGAGGGGATGGAAACCCAAGGCTTGCGATATGGGTGGCTCCTCATTTTTTAGGACCAGGACCCCGGAACATGGTGGCGTTCCTGTTGGCTTTCCTTTAAAACCACCAAAGACTGGGTACCCTCAACAAAAGACATGCCAAGGCTGGCTTGCTCTTTGCTTCGACCTACCTGTTTTGTTACGACTTTTTGGAGCGTGGCGTGTTCTTTTTCCATGGTTTAGATCCTCAAGACCGTTGAAGCTGGGGGACGGCCCTCGGCCCGGTATCATGTGGCTTGACTCACATGACACTAGCTGACACAACACGTGGGTTGGTTCACCTTCAAGAGGTTGTCGGGGGCAACCAGGTGTTGTTGCAGCGTCGGAACGTGGCTGCGACTATGGCTTTGGTAGACCGGTGTTGGCAGATTGGACGTGTGCTTGCCAGCGACGTTTGCGGCGCTTTTTTGGGGTGACCGGAGTGCTTCTCAGCCAGTTTTTTGCGACCCACTGGCTCAAAAGCGGCATGGCGCCAGGTTTTCCCCGTTGCTTGTGGTTTCTTGATGCAGTGGTTGTATGTGGGGTCGATCCTTTACATGGCATGACCATTGGGGGGAACCACGAAAAAACACGATATTGCCTGCTAAATGGGTAACTTGACAAGTATTGATCATGTCCATGTGAATGTGTGTCTGTGAGAATCGGTGGCACCGTTCCAAACCAAGAAGCCACAAGCATCCTGAACCCAAAGACATGGCTTTCAGGGATCCATTCCTTTTGGATCCTCCAAGAGTGGCAGTTTCAATGGACACCACCACCTAGAGTCTCCATGACCCCTAGAAAAAGGGGTCATAACCCTTTAATTTTGGGTAATGACCCCATTTTGAAAGGGTCATGGAGATTGGAAGGGGACATCATTCCGGGACTTGGAGACGCCTTTTGGAATGCGAGCGGAAAAGGAAGTTGCACCCAAAAGCAACTCTTTTTGAAGGAGCTTCCAGAGAGAACCCACCTTAACCCCAGCTTTTCGACAGTGCACTTGGTGGCAAGCCCAGGCATCCGGTTCCTTAGCTGTTTGGACGTTTTTCGTTGGTTTGGTTGGGTTTCTTTGGGTTTCCAAGTGGTTGGTTTAGTGGTTGGGTTGGGTTTCCATCCGGTTTAGTGGTTGGTTTAGTGGTTTTTAGTGGTTGGGTTTCCATACCAAAGTTTGTTCAACTTTTGGCACAAGATCAGTTTGGGAACCACGGTTGCGGTGTCCATTTCACCCACAAGTCTTCAACCTTTGGCCGGGGATCGGGGGAAAAAACGGACAGCCTCCGGCGGGGCCCGTTCGGGGGTTGCCGGGCACTGCTGGGCTCAGGTTCTTCACGGCAGTTGAGATGGTGGTATGGGGAGCCTGGGGTCCGGGCCTCAAGTGAGAAAAACAATCGTCGGGTGATGTTGACCATCGACCCGTTTTGCATCAAACGTTTTGCGGATTCCCTTGGCTTTAGCGAGTTCCAAAATGCCTTTGCCGTGCTGACATGTTGCATGAATGTGAATGGGGTACGTGATGCAAAGATTGGTCTGCTTTTCTAAAGCTGGTGTCGGAGAATCGGATATGGGACAATCTTGCCACCAGTGGGTGCGGGACTGCCTCGCCTTTTCTGGTTCTGATCCAAGTGTTGCCTCAAGAACTGGTTCTCGAACCATCTAAACGGTCGTGCTGGGGCTCCTTGAGCCATTTTCATGCCGATCGTTTTGGTATGACCCAAGTGCTACCTTAGGACTTGGCTAGAACCTGGGATCGGGAAACCCAATTTGTTGGACTGTTTTTGAAGGTAGCCAAAAAGGAAACCAAACACCTGGAGGGGTCCCCCATTTTTTGACCTTCTTTCAAAGGTAACCAAGAGCCCAGAGGGGTCCAATATCAATTTTGAGAAACACCCACGTTGGTATTGGATCCTGTGTGTTTTCCAGGGCGCAGATTGCGACCCTCGCATTTGGTCTCGATGATTTTGAGACAAACTCAGTTGGCTCCTTCATTGAACTGGTTATGGCTGTTAACAGCTTCATTTGGGTATTGGACAGGCTCCTTTTTTCAGGCGAGCGCTACGCAGCCCACATGTGGAGAAACAGGGCTGTCGTGGAAACTGGAGCCAACAAGAGTCACAGCTGCCATTTGGAGGGTTGGTTTGTACCCGCTTCATGACTCTACAAAACGAGCTAACCTCGTGAAGGTTCTCTCCTTCAATTTCATGTTGGGGGAAGACTGAAGCGCAGGGGTTGTGAGAGGAATAGGACCGGCCCTCGTTTGGACCCTGGCGCCGCAGGTGCCGCTTGAAGAAAGCGGATCATTGGAGACACTCCACCTGGGAATACTCAGTTGTGTTCTTTGGAGACTTTGCCCCATCGGTTGACTACGAACCCTGGATTTAACTTACAACCAAGTTCCATCGGACCCAGGTGAAGTCAGCCTCGTTATGCATCCTTTCTTGGAAACCTGTGTCCAAGTTCCTCCTGGCCGCAGTGATGGAGACAGAAGGCAATATCAACTGAGGTCAATTATCATGAGCTAGTAAGTTGATACATCATGTTGCGACTTTTTATGCATGGCATGCTGAACCTTCTATCCCTTTGGAGCTGCATTGCATGGCAATACGTTCTTTTCCCCAAGCGTTTCGTGGGAGAAAAGGTTCTTTGGACTTTGATCAGCGTACTTGCTTGATTCCGAAGAATGTCTTCACGACGTCTGCGCCGTTCCTCGAGACTGGGGGATGTGGTAGTTTCCCCTGCATTGGTTTGAGTTCGGCACCCCAGCTGCCAGCTGGCCCTGCAGGAAGACTGGAAGCCGCAAAACGCGGCAAATTGAATTGCGCACTACCAGATCCTGCAACCCTTATGCCAGATGTTGCTGGTTTCCATTGTTGTAGTGGTCCCCACTACGGCATTGCACATTTGAACAATTAGGATCCCCCTCTCTTTTGGACAACGCAGACAAATCCGCCCAGGAATGTTCCAGGTTTGGATGCACATCCGCACTGCTGCTTGGTCAAATCCGATTCGGGCGGCGGTTTGGGCACGGCCTTAGATTCTTGGTAACTCCAGGAGACTGTCAGGGCCTTCGAATTCCACCCATCAGCATGTCTGGACAACATGCCTGCCTGCAAAGCAGAGCAGCGTAAGGATCACTCCGTGAGGAACCCCTCCTTTGTTTGTGCCAATGAGTCAAGCACCCCATTGTAAGTTTGCTAGCTTTGGGCTTACAAGAACTGCGCGTCTAGGCGTAGTGTTACGGTTCACGTTTTAGGTGCCAACAATTTGGGTCCAGGCACTGCCCCACTGCCTTATTCAAAAGCTCGCCTTCCAAATTCTTCGGCGAGGTTGTTTCCATTTGACTCTGAGAACCTATTTTCCAGTACTGGATGTAAAAGGCGCAAGCAGATATGTCAATGGGCCGGTCTTTAAGATTGCATGACTACAGTACATGGTCATAGTTGTAATGTCACACATATGCGTACACGTGTACTTACTGTGTATCACGTATTATATATATAGTGTATATATTGATATATATATATACACACATGGTATCCCCCTTTCCCCCTTCAACTCCAGAAAATGCGTTAAACAAAGAGAAACAAGAAACGAGGAAACAACAGAGTCTTCTAGAAGGGCAAGGTCTTCTGGATTCCAGAGGACCTTGCCTCTTCTAGGAGACCCCGCTGTTTCCTTGTCTCTTGTTTCTCTTTGTTTAAAGCACTGGAAGAAGGGCCCCCAAACCAGGAACAACAAGACAAACCAGAACAAAAAAACTGGGTCCTCATCAAGAAGGGCCCCAAACCAGGAACAAAAAAACAAGAAAACGAAAAACGTGTTTTGTTCTGGTTTCCGTTTTTTTTCATGTTTTCTGGTTTGGGGCCCTTCTTTTGGAGGCCCCTGGAATTTTGTTTTCTTCTTGTTTCTTTTTTTCTTGTTTAGGCATTTTGTTTGAGGACTCTGGTTTATTTAATGTGTTATCTTGTTGTTTCTGTTTTCATATTCTATTTGTTTACGTCTGCAAACTGGGAAGACGGCCACCCACTGCAAGCATTTGTCCTCACCGCCGTCTTCCAGTATATAATTCAGGCTTCACTAAAGTGAATGGTTAATAGCTGGCTTGTTTTTGCAATTGATATTTACTTTGTTTTCGGCGAGGGATGGAGAGGGTCCAGTGGGATCACGAGGATGTGGAGATGCCACAAGCGCCACGCACGTGAATGAGCTGTCCGACCCAGTCACACGCGCACATACTGCTTCGCTGATACATTTTTGTTGATTGATTTCCCCTTTTATTGGGATCAAGAGATTTGTGGAGATACCGCAAGCGCCTCTCGCGTGGTCTTTCTCTCTCCGCACTCTCTCTATCCCTCTCTCACGCACACAGCACACACACACACACAGTCTCGCGCTCCACTCACACTCATGCGCAGGCACGCACACAGATGTATACCCACACGTATACTATATACCTGTGGCCCTCGCAACCATGAAAAACATGGGTTGTTTTCGAGATTCTGCAAAAACCAGGTTTTTAACCAAAAACCAGGTTTTTGCACAGGCAAAAGGGTGGGGACGCTAAACGCTAAACTGCTTATTGCACCGCAGCAAGGCGTAGTGCAGGCTTTTGACACCACCTCGAGACCAGATTGCTAGGCGCCTCAAGCCATTTTAGTTGCACTGCGCGGGAAACACATTCAAACACCAGACATCTTAAGCCACATTGACAAACTGCCGCAATAACAATGATATGTTGATGCAACAGCTTATAACTTTTTAACCTGCGACACTAAGCAAGCTTAATCCGGCATCGCCCGCCAAACTTGCTGAGATTCGGCAAGCCTGCTCAACCTACCTACACAAGTCATTTGGCACTGGCACTACTGCCCGCCAAGCAATTTAGAGTCGAAGGGTCCCCTTGGCAGACTGTCATATCTCTAAACGCGCGAGCAAGGTGGAGCCAACAAGAAATCCTGCGTGTGCCAAACCCCATGCAAAATATGGAAAGCCTCACAACTGCAAGCTAGTCTCATCAGTGGAAACAGTATCAGCTTTGTTAAGTTCATGCTGGCAACCCCTGCAGTCTTGCGTGCGAATCAGGTTGTATAATTTTGTATAATTGCAAGATGTTGCCAGGAACCCGTTATTACACTCAAGCAGACTGGAATGTGGCAGTTGGGCTGATACCTTCACACGTAGGATGATGTTGGTTCTTGATTAGTACTGTGGACTTGAATAGCGTCCGCATTTTTCTCATTCTGATTCCCACCCATTGTTTTAGTGGAACAGCAAAGTGTCCTCTGCTTTTCCCGTGTGTTTCTTGTGTGGAAAACACGATTAATATGTCTTTCAAAACCTGATTCCAAAAAACAAGTAACCACCTCAGAACCAGGTTTGGGTCATACCAACTTGCGCTTGCGCTTGTCAAATTGCATCAAACAGTGGCCCTTCAAGGCTGCAGTTCCCCACCAAACTCAGCATCAACTGCTTCAAATCTGGCTCCTGAAGGCTGCAGTTTCCTGTCTCAGAAACATCCCCAGCTCTCAAAAGGCAAATTCTTTACTAAACCTTGCTTAAACAATGCAAAACAACAATCAGGGCAAGGCGCCCCACGCAACTCCACAAAACCAGAATAAGGGCCATTGCTTAGGATTGTTTAGGTGGACAAGAATGGTGCCGCAGTGCCCTGCCCAGAGTTTTAACTTTGTGCATTGCTTTTACTTTAAAAGCAGCCCCCCTTCTGTTAGCCCACTACGAAATTGTCAGTCACAGAATCTGTGACCTCTGAAACCTCAGAAGCATCCCCAGCCCTCAGAATGCAAATTATTTGCTACACCTTGTTTAAACATATGCATGCAAAACAACAATCATGGCAAGCGTACCTACCCCACACAATTTGCAAAAACCGGAATAAGGCCCATTGTTTAGGATTGTGAATATGGTGGACAAGAATAGTACCCTGCCCCCAGCCACCAACATTGCGCATTCCTTTTGCTGTTGAAGCAGCCATTTTTATTGGCCCACTAAACTTTGTCAGTCACAGAATCCAGCACCAACTGTGACCCCTGAAGCCTCACAAACATCCCCAACTCTGAGAGTGCAAATTCTTTACTACACCTTGTTCAAAACAGGCAAAACAACAATCGTGGCAAGCGTACCTACCCCACACAGTTCCCCAAAACCAGAAAAAGGGCAATTGTTTGAGTGGAAACAAAAAGTGCCCTGCCCCCAGCCCCGCGTCCCCAATGTCCAGCGCTTTTACTTTTACAGCAGCACTCTTTCATTGGCCTGCTAAGTTTTGGCGACTCAAATCCAACAATACTAGATCAAACAAATGGAAGCTCAAGTCAAAAAGGAAGCTTTAGTCTACTAAGTCAAATGGAAACCCGAATCCAACACT